CGGCCTGGGTGAGCGCGGAGGGGACCCCAGCGAGGCTTGCCTGGTTGCTGGCAGCGCCTCGCCCTGCACGCAGGCTGCCGGCCCCCCCTGAGGACTTGATAGTTCCTCCCCGTCACCAGCAGCATGATCTTGTGACGCTTACTGGAGTGTGACATTTCTGTGGTATCAGTGAGTCCAGGTCCATGACTTGGTGGCCTCAGGTTCAACATCGCTGTGCTGCTGTGTGACATTCCCGGCCCCACGTCTGTCACTTGATGTTTGTTCTCACCTACTAGGTGAGACTTTCTTGGTCAGCAGAGGTTACACTAGAGGCGGTTTAGTTGTGTTCACAGACTGGCTCTGGAGCCGCAGGGACGCATCTCTCCTGCCCCCGATGGGACCACCACACGCGCTGGGTTCGCCTGAAACCTGACGCTTTGGGCAGGCAGACTGTCCCAGTCAGGCTAGGTGACAGAGTCCTTGGAAGGTCGAAGGCTTTGGGTTTCGAAGAGCCCTTTGCTCTTCTCTGCCATGATTTGGCCTCTGACCTTGTGTGCAGTTGTGCAGGCTGAACACTGCTGCCACGGGTGACTGCCTCTTCATTCTTCCTGAGAGACCAGCGATGAGGTGGTGTTGGTAAAGTGCCGGGCCATTCAGCTCGTTAGCCGGCCGTACCTGTCGGGGAGGTGCTGTGGGCAGTTTGAATTTGAGTGACAGCAAACAAACATGTCCCTGTGTCTCCATTCTTCCACGTCGCAGAGCTCTGCCTCCTTCAGTCATGGTGTGTGCTTGACGGGATGAGAAGCACGGCCTCGGGAGCCATCGGGCCGGCAGTGTGGAGCCAGGGTCTCTGGTCTCTGGCTTCTCTCCTGCCTTGTACGCAGCCAGCTGTCTGCTTCCAGCCCCATTCGTACTACTCCCCTATTTCCAAGCTAGAGCAGAAGGGTGACTGGCCCCATTTTCTGCCCTTGACTGAAGTTCTGGGCGTTTGGGGAGGGTGGGGACCAGAGAGCTGTAGCTCCCAGGTGCTCTGTTTCCTCGTGGGCGTCCACACTGGCCTTGGAGCAAACGGGCCCCAGGGTGAGCGGCAGGGAGACTCCAAGGGGTCACGGCTGGGGGTTTGAGCCGGTTTGGGATCAGGCCGAGTGCTTTCTCCATAGCCCTGCTCCGTTACCCTTTGAAAGCCACGGGCCGGGTCAGCGTTACCTCCCTCTTTCTTCCTCTCTTTTTTCATTTTGGCAGAAGACAGAATTGTATCACACATCTCCAAAACGAGTAAAATGGCATTTCAGCTTCTTGTCTTTATAGACTCTCTGAACTTTAGGAAAGATCATTCTGGTCCCTTTTCATTAATAATGAAAACCAAGGGGCAATAAAATGTTCTTAGCGCGAGCATGTCAGGAACGAGTCGCGGCGCGGGGGTGAAGGGTGCGGCCGGCGGGGAGCCACAGGTGTTGCTTGGTGCTTGAGGAGGTCAGAGCTCCGCAGAGGTGGCGGCCGCTGGAGCAGGGGTGCGGCTCCGTGGACCCTGGGACTGCCCGCATCTGCTCCGCCTTCCAGCTCTGGTACCCGGAATGAGCAGCTGCGCTTCTCTGGGCACCACATTTGCCGGAAAGAAGGACCCAGGCAAGCTTTGGTTCTGGTCCACTTTCTGGCCCGCTGCAGCTCTCCTCTTGCGGGATAGTGAGTGGGTATTTGAGAAGTCAGTGGCGAATAGGATATTCTGGACCCAGGCCCATTTTGAAGCTGCCCTGAGGATTTGGGTGCTCAGGGTGGATGAAAGCCATCCTGAGCAGCGATTCTTGAAGAGTGACAGGTTTACTCTGTCTCCACTTTTTCCTCCTAAAACTGGACTCGTACTGGACGTTGGACACTGCATCGAGGCACTCAGGGCGGAGTGGGCTCGGGATGCGACCAATGAGAAGGTCGCCTGGGACTCAGAGCCTCGTGGCTCCTCGGGGTCCAGGTAGAAATGTCCATCAACCTCAGTGGTCTCGGAGCTTTTGATTGAATGAGCCGCGGTTGCTAATCCGCGTAGATGCTTGTTGGGTGGGACGTTCACCACAGCAGAGCAGCAGAACTTTCTGGAGACAGTTTCTGTGACCCTGCACATCACTGCACGGCCCCGGGAGGGAGTGGGGATGCCCCGGCTTGTCATAACCCACCCCAGAGCCCATGCCACATGCCAGGAGACGCCGGATGCAGAGTGAAAATACGCTGGGAGGGATTTTTGCAGCTTCTGTCACGGACAAAAGACTGATTTTCCAGGCTCCTCCATCACTGACACCCTTGCCTCCCGCAAGCCCCCTTCAGCCGTATAAGAAGTTTCTACAAATTGATGAGGACATTGATAAAGAGATTGAGTAGAAGAGTAGGGGTCACATATAATACACCAGAGAGGACACCCAGGGCAGGGGCACTCAGTCCTCACTGTGACGTAGAGGCAAATGAAAACCAGGGTGAAGGACTCTTTTCTGCTCAGTACAGGCAGAAACCCGAGTGTGATGAGCCCGCTGTGCGCCGTGAGGAAGCACGTGCTCTTGGACATGGCTGGCAGGAGCCCACTGGGTCAGCCCCCGGGGTGGACTAGTTGACAGTAGCTTTCAAAATTGCAAATGGCCTGCACTTCCGACCTGGGCTCCTAGGGATTCACGGGCGCGGGTGTGCTTGGACGTGTATGGGAGGTGACATACGCACACGGTCCTTGGGGCCAGCGTTGTGTGAAACAGAGGCGAGAAGTTGGTGAGGTGTTGCTTAAATGGAGTATTAGGCAGCTCTGGAAAAACAGCAGAATGAGGACTGGGGCGGGGGGAGCGGGAAAGTAATGCGGATGCATGTTGCCCTAGACGTGCATACAAGGGCTCTGGCGGGACTATGGGCAGCTGTGCACCGTGGCTGCTGATGCCGGAGGGGGGCTGTTGGCAGTAGAATGATGGATGCCATGTGTGTGGACCATGTGCATCTATTAGCTCCTCACAAACTGGAAAACAGAAATGGGAATTGAGGGCTGGGGGGGCGGGTGCATCTTGGGAGTTTGTGCAGGAGACTCCACGGCTGGGCCACCTTGGCACGCTGGCTCCGAGTCCATAGGCCGCGCAGGCAGTGGGGGGAGGTGGCCGTCGAGAGGCTCCTCCAGGCCCCTGTGTCACTGTGGTGTCTGCCTCCTGAAACCCGACTCAGCAGCTTGGGGAGGTGGGAGCGGCTCCCTCGTCCCCTTGGGGGGGGGTCTTTGCCATTTTGATCGCCCCCCCCCACCCCCCACGGCCTGTGTGTCAGCAGCCCCTCCTCTCTGAGTGCCCACGTCCTGCCACTGAGAAGGTCCCTCACCTGCTCCCCTGTGGTCATGAGATGCCAGGATGCGCCGGGGACCCGGAGAGCTTGCAGGCCCAGGGGCAGTGGAAAGGGGAGACCCTCAGCGCCCGGCCCTGCCGCTGTCTGCACTTCGGCTTTGCCTCCTGACCTGGTGCTCTTTTCAAGGAGTTTGGGAATGCAGCTGCTCTTTCTCCGTTCCCTCGTCTCCTAAATGCACGTGTGGCCCCTGGCCTCCATGTCCCAGCAGCCCGGGTGGGCACCTTCTGGATAACATGCCGCGGACACTGTGGTCCGACGCCGCAGACAGATTAGTGGCCTGCTCCGGTGCCCTGCGCCCCCCCCCCCCCCCGTGCGTCCTGGAGCTTGTAAACAGTGCAGGGAAAGATGAGGTGGAAGACCCGGCTCCCCTCCATTCAGGAGTCGTGGGGGGGGGTCTCCTGGGGCCTGTTCTAGAGCGCTGGCCGGGAGCCTGCTCCCGCACGAGGACTGGCCTGCCAATCCCGGTCCCTCCGCCGCAGCGGCACTGCCTCGTCCCGCTCTGTCCATCTTACCTTCTGTGGCTCCTTGCGGTAGCCTCTTCCCCGCTTCCTCACCTCTGTCCCTCCCACCCATATCTCGCCCTTGAGGACACCCCATGTTGTCTCCCCGAATACAGGGCTGACCGGGTCACTCCTGATTCAGGGCCTTCAGTGACCCCAGTGCTTGTGACCCACCTCCTCCTCCACCACCCTGCTTGGGTGACCCCTCTCTGCTCTTGCCTCCCCCCTTGGGTAGGCTCAGTTGCTCACTCAGGCCCCACTGGCCACCTTCTCGCCTTTGAGCACAAGTCAGCCCCTACCTCTGTACCTGCTCATACCCTGCCCAGAGCTCTGTCCCTGGGACCCCACAGGCCTCAGCATCTGCCTCCTCCAGGGCCCTGCCGACCCCTGGCTCCCCTCTCTCATTCTCCCCCCAACCCCCTGACATCACCCCATTGACCTTCTTTTTTTTTTTTTTTTTTTTTAATTTTATTTATTTAAGTAATCTCTACACCCAACGTGGGGGCTTGAACTCACAACCCCGAGATCAGGAGTCTCGTGCTCCACCGACTGAGCCAGCCAGGTGCTTGCCCTGTTGGGCCTTGATGATTCTCTGTAGTTACCTTGCTCGGTGCCTGTCTCCTGCACTTGCTGCGTAGGAGAGCAGGCGGGACAGGCAGGTGTCACCACCGCTGTGCTCCCGCGCCCACAGCGCGGTCGGGCAGGCAGGTGCTGCTTTATGAAGGTTTGAATACACAGATGGGACAGTCTCCCCTCCCCCATTCCTTCTCAAGCAGCTCTTTGCTCATCCCTGTGTGTAGTGGGACACTGGGACGTGTATTTACGCACACCTGTGTGTATGTGTCAGCCTCACAGGACCCTGTGTTCCCTGAGAGTGGAGACCATGCCCTAGGGTCTTCAGATTGCCTCTGTCACCTGATGGCCACCCCAGGACTTGCTCACTGCTACACACCCCTGCACAGGAGATGCGAGGTTGAGGCAGGTGGTTCCGAGACCCTAGAAAGAGGAGGGAGGCGCAGCCGAGCTGCTGTTCCTGACCATCACACACTGTCCCGTATAGTTGTGTGTAGCAGTTGCCGATCCTCGGAGATTAAGAGGCAGTACGCGTGCTCTCACCACCCCGGAAGGACGGAAGGACATGCTCCTGACACACCTTTTCTCCCCACTCAGGCCCTGTGGGGTCCCGATGGAGGGACTACGGCGCCTTGGCTGTCATCACGGCAGGCATTGCGTTTGGCTTTCACCAGCTCTACAAGGTAAGTCTGCCTTCCCTGTGGCTCCCCTGGCATTCAGCCCGGTTCTCCCCCGTCCCAGGTTTGTCTGTGTCGAGGCCCCCTGCCCTGGAGCGTGATGGCAGGAGCGGGGCCATGTGTGGAGGCAGAGTATACGGATGATCGCGCTCTCTGCGCAGGGCCGCTGGTCTGGGCTCCGTGCCGCCCCCACCTGGGTGGGTGCGCCTGGCAACTTCAGGCCCCGCCTCGCCTACTGCACCCAGCGCTGCTCCTCCACGTACCCCCCGCACAGGGTGACCGTGGGGCCCACCCGTCTACAGACCATGTGCCGGGCACAGGCTGAGTAGTCAGGACATTTTTGAGAGACAGAATGACATGGTCGTTGAGCGCATGGACACTGGAGCCCACTGCTGTGTTGCGTACTGGCTCTGCCACTTAGTAGCTTAGTAGTGATCTCACCTGGAAAATGGGGGCAGCAGTACCTACCTCACGAGGCTGTTGTGAAGCTCGAAGGAGTCGGTGCTCCTTTGAAAGTGCTCTGTGCCAAGCGCCCAGGAAGCACTCTGTATGCTATTCTACTCTAGTGTAGGAAACCAGCTTTGAGAATCTCAGTATAGTCCTATCTATGGGCTCTATATTTTGTTTCCTACATATTGTGTTGACGTCCATACAAATCTAGGATTTTTTTTCCCCCAAACTTCATAGTCAACCCTCTGGATCCCAGACTTCATTGTTTGGAACAGAAGTGCAGGCGTGAAATGAGCATGTACGTACTTCCTTGATATCAAATCCGAGCCTGATAGTGACCAGCAGACACTAACTTTGATTTGAAGAAAGCGCATCTTTTCGAGGACGCAGAGCCAGGGGTAGGCCCCAGAGACTACCCTCTGCTGCTTCTGGGGAGAAGGCCTCTGCCTCTGATGCCCCTGTAGCTCTGACCCTTATTTGCAAATTTAAAAAAAAAAAAAAAAAGTCTGAATGAATACTCAGACTCACTGTATTAACTTGTAGCACATGAAACATGTTTCAGCGCTGTGCTCTGGGATTCTTAATTTTTGACTTCATGTAGAACCTAGTGACTGTTGTAGCAGAGCGTGATTTTTTCAGTGTAACATCTATTCTTGGAATTGGAAACTTTCACGTCAGATCCAGAAGCAAAATGTTCTAAGTCCTGGGGATTCTCCTCCTGACCCGATGCCCCCACTTCCCCCGACCCTGTGTGCTGAAAGCCTGGTTCCAGTCACTGACTGCCTGCAGTCCCCAAGAAGAATAAAAAGCTAAGACAGAATTCTCAAAGTCCCGTCCCGGCTCCCCTAAGCAGCACCTAATCGTCACACAGCCACCCTCGGCTGGCCTGCAGCTGGAGGAGAAAAGCAGAGGTGGCGTCAGGTCTTTCCACGAAGCCCTGATCTTTGCTCGATGCTTAAAAAAGAGAGACACTGAGGGGCACCTGGGTGGCTCAGTTGGTTAAGCACCCGACTTTGGCTCAGGTCATGATCTCGCGGTTCATGAATTCGAGCCCTTCATTGGGTTCTGTGCTGACTGTTAAGAGCCTGGAGCCTGTTTCAGATTCTGTGTCTCCCTTGCTTTCTGCCCCTCCCCCATTCATGCCCCACTTCTCTCTGTCTCAAAAATAAATAAACTATAAAAAAAATTTTTAAAAAAAGATTGAAAGATCAGTCACAACGGTGATGAGAATTTCTTTAGTGTCTTTAAACTAAAAAAAAAAAGGTAAGAGCTGTCATCTTGTTTTATAGATATGTGACAGTTTGGGCTTGGGCAGTGTATGCACTCCTTCCCATGGCCTTTTTTGATCTCAGAAATCGAATTTTTAGTTTGTTACATGCATAAGAATCTCTTGACTTGTGTACTCAGGAAACTTTCAGCCTGGAACGTAAGGCTACATTTGATGAGTTTCGGCTCAGTTGTGGGTAATAACTCACACAGTGGTTGAAAAGCACTTTGCAAAATAGAAAATGCTTCTATATGTGTGCTAAATAATGATCTCCACTGAGAAGCTGCTCTTGAAGTGAGTTCTCCCGCAAAGCCCTCGTGAGAGACCTCCCCCTCCTTCTGCAGCATGACCTTAATGGACACGCTCTCTTCTCTCCCATCTGGGCCCCAAATGGAGTAGGAAGCAAAGTTCCTTGGTCACACCTGCCAGTTACCACACCTGCCAGCCTGTGCTGTGCCCCCTCTGGTCCCAGCCCGCTAACGGTGACAACTGCGCTCAGGCTCCTAAATACGAGGCGCCGAGTCCCGAGCACACGTTCTTTTCTCCAGCTCTCCCAGCGGCCACCCTGCTGCCCGCCTTCCGCCCCCCTTCACACCTCAAAGCAGGCAGCCAGTTACCAGCTGTGTTCCACCCTGCCTTCTTCCTGAATGTTCCAAGACCCCCATGCCCCCCCCCCACCCCCCCGGGCTTCCTGGACCCTCTCGTTCGGCTGACCTGTAGCATCTACTTCCTTTTCCCCAGAGTCTGTGTCTTCAGCTTCTGCCCCTTCCTCTCCCGCTGCCCTTGTGTCTGGGGGAGTTTGACTGCGTTTGACTCTCACCCGAAGGAAGCCTGTTCTGCGGATTCAAGGCTTAGTTTAAAAAAACAACAAACCTGAGGTGTGACCTCATTCCATGGCCTCAGAATACCGTGTTATTCCCTAGTAAAAGGACCGAAGGCCCCGAAGTCTGTTGTGGATTTTCATCTAGTTTCTTGACTTATTTTTTGTTTATTTTATTTTACTCATTTTTCTCTGAATGGATAATTCGTTCACAAGGTTCGGCGTGTTTAGAGGTTCAGAGAAGAAAGCTTCCCTTCCACTCTCTGCAGGCCGACCATGGGATCACTTTCTTCTGTCACCTTCTACATTTTTATCTTATAACTTTTATTTATTTTTTAAAGATTAATTTGAGAGAGAGAGAGAACATGCACACGAGCAGGGGAAGGGCAGAGAGAGAGAGGGAGACCGAGAATCCCAAGCAGGCTCCACATGATCAGCGCAGAGCCCGATGTGGGGCTCGATCCCACACACTGTGACATCACCACTTGAGCCTAAACCAAGGATTGGATGCTTAGCTGACTGAGCCACCCAGGCGCCCCTTTATCTTCCAACTTTTTAAGCAGAATTTTAAGTGTTTTTGTTACAGAAATATATGTAGCAGCACTGAGGTAATGAAGTAAAAGAACCAAAAACAGACCACACGGACCTTACTTGTCCCTACTTCCTGGTCCTTGTCCTCTGATTCAGAAAGAACCTTCATCAGCCTCGTAACTTTCAAGTCTCTCATTTACAGTGTTTGCATCTGTGTCAGGTTTCCAAACCCCAGAGGGGACAGAGGGAAAGTTGGGGGGCAGAATTTGCCGGCTCTCTGGAGAATAACCCCAAGTGTGCACCCGCCGCTCACACCCACCCTGCTCCTTGTAGAAATACCTGCTCCCCCTCATCGTGGGTGGCCGAGAGGACAGGAAGCACCTGGAGAGGATGGAGGCGAGTCTCTCGGAGCTGAGTGGCAGCGTGGCACAGACAGGTAAAGATTAATGACTCCATCAAGTCGCCCCTCCAAGCCTTCCTGAGCAGCCCCTTCTCTGCCCCGCCCCTCCCCCTTGCCTCCACTTTATGTGGTGACTTCATTTATCTGCTCTGAGAATCTGTTCACATTTGCAAATGAAGCCGCCGTCATTTCGGTTTAATTTGAAATTGCTTGTTTACTGTCGGCGCGGCCTCAATTAATTATGTTTTTACGGAAAGGCTCCCAACCTCAGAATATTAATAAGGGGAATAAAATGACAGCCTTTCTAAGGGCTGTAAAGTTCATTTTTAATTTCTGCTTCTGTGAGGTTTTCAGGGGGGTTTTCAGCGATTTTTTCCCCCTTCCCTCTAAGAATCCAGCACAGGGTCAAGAGAGGCTGTAATTACTGTGGCTCCGGGGACCCCAGCCACCTCCTCTGTCATCGACTCCACGGGGCTGGCGTTCATTACCCGGTGCCCCAGTGATGGCCCAGATTAGCTGGGACCTGTCGCACCAGAGGCGGCTTTTTCTCTTTATAAACTTGTTTACTAGATGGAGGCTCTGAATCTAAAAACTCAGGCAAGCGACAGAGCCGCTGTCCCGGGCAGGAGTCTATCCCGCTGGGGTGCACTTGCAGAGCCGCCAGAAACGCTCTGGTGCGTCTGGCCCTGGGAGGCTGACCCCGGGGCCCGTGCCTGGGGCACAGCCTGGTACCACCGCGGCCCTGGGGAGCTCCAGTAGCCTCGGGGTTGGGTGCAGAAGCAGGAAGGAGCGGCAGGAAAGCGGGATTTGCGGTCTTTAACAAACACTCCCGGCCTGAGATGCGTATGGGCCTGAGATGCGTATGGGCCTGAGATGCATTTCTCCCAGCACGGGAGACTCCGACAGCTGCCCGGTGAGGGGCGTGAGATGAGGGACACGGATGTAACCGAAGTTGGAAGAGCCAAGCAGATCATACGCACATGTAATTGGAGGGGAGAGGCTTTGGACGGATATAGTGTTGACCATGGACAAGTGCACAATAGGAAGATGGAGTGGAAATACTAGAGGTTAGATGCGGTGCAGGTAGATTGCCCGGAGTGCAGATAAATTATCTGGATTGCGGGGTGGGGGGTGACTCAGATAAATTAGACGTGGCAGCTATAGGTGTGTGGACAGAGAAGGGAAGAATCTGTGTGTATCATTTAACAGAGATGCTACTGCTTTTTTCTCCCAGTGACTCAGTTACAGATGACTTTAGCCTCCGTCCAGGAGCTGCTGATTCAGCAGCAGCAGAAAGTCCAGGAGCTCGCCCACGAACTGGCCTCAGCCAAGGTACTTGTCCCTGACCCTCTCCGGGTCCAGGTCTGCCCTGCCCGGTGCTCTGCCCATCTACCGCGATCCACTGGGTCTGACTTTGCTTTTCTCATGCCGGTTACACAGCAGGGGCCCTCACGGTCCTCAGAGAGAAAGGAGGCGGTCACCTTCCCTTCACTCTGGCTCCGTGTCCCCTCCTCGCAGGGGGAAGGAGGGGCAACTCTTTGCCTGTGGCCCTCCCGGGGCAGCACAGCCCCAAGCTCTGGAGGTGGCTGCTGTAGACCCCGGGTGATCTCCCCTGCCACGTGAGGCCACAGGTCACAGCATTGCCAAGAGCGAGTGCAGGGAGTGGGGAGGTGGGGGAGTGTGCCGAGGCACTCGGCTAAACCCTGCATCCGCGGGCAGATTCTCCGCACCCAGGTCTCGGGGAGTCAGGGGACCCCGAACGGAGTATCAGCTGGGATTGCCCCGGGCTGTTTCCATGCCTCACTTCCCAGATCTGAAGGAGTCTTGGCAATATCAGGTCCCAGGATCAGACCTCTTGGGGCAAAATCCTCTGCCACATGCCAGCCGTGTGAGCACAGGCAAGTTACTTAACCTCCCTGACTTAGTTTCCTCGTCTGCAAAACGGACTTGTAATGCCACGTCCTTCACTGTCTGCATGTGCTTGGAATAGTGTCTGCTCCCGTCCACTCCCGGGAGTGCAGGCTTCCGGCCCGGGTCTGTGGGTGCATGACAGGGTCATTCTCGAGGCACTGTCTTGGACCGGGCCCAGGGAACAGTGGTCCAGTGGCTCCAGGATGTCCAGTCTCCTCCCCAGTCCATCCCCATCCCCGTGTTGCTTTCCGGTCACTTCCACGCAGCCCGAGCTGTAGAGGGACCGACTCTGGGCGGCTCTCCCAGGAGAAGTCCCAGCCAGTGCACAACCAGATGTGAGCCGGCGCTCAAAGCTTTGGCGTTTGCAAAACCAAGTGAAACTGGAATCTTTCTGTTTCTGATGGATTCTGGGGCTCCCCCCTGTGAAGAGGGGTTCCCAAGAATCCCCTCTCCCCTTCTTGGGTCCCCCCACACACAGGAGGTGCTGCCTGCACTCACCCCGCAGATGCTGTGGTCGCGATGGCCACCTCTAGCCGCTGTGTGTGCTCCCAGTGGGGGGGGGGCGGCCCTTGGAGCAGGCGGGAAGCCCGCCTTCGCGCCCCCACCCCGCTCTCCTCTATTATCTTTGGGAGCGGTGGCCTGCCAATGGCCAGAAGCCATTCCGGATATTGGAAAACTGTTTGCAGACCTGAAGCATTAAGATTAAGACCACATGTTGCATTTTAAGAGGGGAGGGGGCCCAGGAGTGTGCCCGTGGCTGAACGCCGCCTCCCTGCCGCTCCCCCATCCCCCACCCCACCCCCAGTCGCCTTCATCCTCTCCTGTGCTGACACGGGGCTCACTGGTGCTGTGTTGGAACCCAGACGAGGGAAGACTTTGGTTACCCCATAAACCGGAGGCTCAGAGCTGTGTTTCCTCAGCTCTAACAGAAGTTTTTATATCTGGCTTCCAAACTCCTAGTGCAGCACTGTAAAAAATTAAAAAGAAGTGCGTTAAGTAATTAAAAAACCTACATAAAACTGAAGGCTGGGAGTTTTCTACAACTGTTTTTTAAAGAGATTGGCTAAAAAGCCCCAGATGTCAGATTTTATTTCTAAATCCTGGCATCTGGCACCATATGCGTTTGGAAATTTGAGTCCTTTGTAGGCCGGTGAGTGGAAATTGCTCCCTTGTTAATGGGCTGCTGTGGCTTTCAAGGTCTCAGAGAAGCCAGAACAGTGGCTCCTGGATCTGCACTGTCTGGTGGTCTGGAGCGAGGACCCCGGGGGGATGTGCGCGCAGTGGCGGCGCACGCTCCCGCCAAGACCTATGGCCCCACTGAGGGGCCTCTCCCTGTGCTCTCCTGAGCAGGCCCGAGCGGCCCCCACCCCGGGTCACAGGCCCGCAGCGGGCTGGTGGAGCCATCCAGGGCCCCTCCCCGCTGCCGGCCCCGGGCAGAGGGGTCAGGGCAGCTGGGACCTCGCACGCCTGACCTGTGCACTTGAAGCCTCTGGGAGGTGGTGTCCGGCCAGGTGGATGGGGGCCCGCGCACCTGGGCCTGTCGTGCCTGGAATTGGCCCATAAACACTTCATAGGCCACTGTGTGGCCACCGGCAGCTGCCATCTGGGAGGCCACCGTTTGGACTTTCCTCTTCTCTGTGTGGTTCAGCAAGATTTGCCAAAGAAAGGTGTGGTTCTTGGAAGTTTATTTGGAAAATGGCCAAGTCGAAGGGGAAAGGTGGGGATGGGAAGATAGCGTTTGTCCGTTTCTCCCGCGGGCCCTCTTCAGGGAGAGAATCGGAGTTAAGTCCTAGAGCAGCTTCTTTCTCTCTGCTGAGCCTCCAGGATCACCCCCAAACAGTGGATGGACTGTGGCCCGCATGCTATGGGAGCTTTGCAGTTGGTGGGGTACGGCCTGGGAGCCTGACCTTGCTGAGGTGGGAGCTGCAGCCGCCTACCAGGGCGGGAAGTGCTCCGGAGGTGAAGCCCGTCTTCCGGGCCTGCTTGAGATTGGAGCTGGGGGGCCGGCCAGTGCCCAGCGGTCACCCCGACCCTCTGGTACAGGCCTCAGAGACCCCGCGGGTCTGGCTCCAGACCACTGCGGCGTAGCAGTCATTGCAAGGGAGCGAGTCAAATGGCTTTTTTGGTTCCTCGGTGCATATGAAAGTTCTGTTTACGCTATACTTTAGTAGCGCGATGCCGAGAAAAATGTACATACCTCACATTTAAAAATACTGTATTGCTAAAAAGTGCTCACCATCCTGTGAGCTTTCGGCAAGTCATATTCACTGATCACAGATCACCCTAACAAGCATAACAACGAAAAAGTAATGAAAAAGTTTGAAATGCCGTGGGAATTGCCGAAATGTGACACACAGACACAATGCAGATGGTGGGGAGCCCAGCGCCCGCAGACCTGCTCGACGCAGGGTCGCCACAGACCCCCGCTTGTCAGAACACAGGTGTGCGAAGCACAGTGAGACGAGGTAGGCCTGTACCGTGTGGGGACGGCGGCTGCCGTCTCAGCCCCCGAGCCCACTCCTGTGTGTGGTGTATAGGTGTCTGCAGGGAGGGTGGCTCCGCTGGGGGAGCTGGGGTGGAGACGGAAGTCACCTGTTTTATTAGTTCTGTTTTAATGGGACGTTGCGAACACACGTGGAAATGGAGGGCCGCAGAGCGGATGGCGTGCTTCCGCCGCACGGCTGGGTGCGTGTCATAGCCGGGCTCTCGGCACCCCCAGCTCGCTGTGCGGCCCGTGCCAGACAGCGGGGCACCTCACGCCGCACACCGCACACACTTGCGTTTGCATCTCCTGAAAGATACGGGCTTTTTGGTTGCTGTTATGTCGCACTGCTAAAATGCCATTGTTATGTGGCTGAATACATGTCACAGCTGCTTAATGTCATCAGGTATCCAAACAGACTTGTGGGAATATTTGTTTTTTAGGGTGCCGTCGTTTAAACAGGAAGGCCCAGGAAGGCCCAGGAGGGCAGGCCCCTGAATGGGCAGTGGCAGAGCCTCCCCCAGGGGTCTCCAGGCTGACACGTGGGACACACGTCCCGCATCCTGCTGACCCCGTGGCCCCTCCCGCCGCCCTGGCTGGTGGAGGTCAGGGTTGGGGGGGTGCGGGAGGGGGCGCAGCTCTGATCCTTGTTCTCCCGTGTTCTGACTTTCAGGCCACCACATCCACCAACTGGATCTTGGAGTCCCAGAATATCAATGAACTCAAGTCGGAAATTAACTCCTTGAAAGGGCTGCTTTTAAATCGGTAGGAGGAGTGGAGGGGTGGGCTGTGGATCTGCCCCAGGCTGGGGCCTGTCCAGCTGCCATGGGAAGGGACAAGTCCCCCTGACGGGCCCCTGTCCGTCCAGCCCCTGATTGAGCCCGGAGACTCAGGCACTGAGTTTGGGAATCTTGGGAGCTTCTGCTTTTCCTCCCCGGGAGCCCCCCCCTCCCCACCCCCGCCCCAAGGGGACCTGGTCAGTGGAAGCTTCAGCCGAAACACGGGACCTGGAGCTGAAGAGAACATCCCCATCCTGAAACAGGGCCTCCAGCCGGGGCCACCGCCTCCGCCTCCCTCCTGGGCCCTGACTGGACCTCTCTCAGTGACAGTGCGGTCCCTTCCTCGCAGAAGGCCTGGGAGTCCTCAGTCGGAAGGATGCTGCGATTCGGGGCAGGGGACAGAAGCAGTGCCTGCCACCCCCGCCCCTGGCTTCTTTGGTCTTGTGCTGTCCATCTGCAGTGACAGCACCTGTCACAAGCCCCAACAGTGGAGACCGTGTCACCAGGGCAGCCCTGAATGGAGGGGTGACCAGCCTGTTTGACCCCGTGTCCCAGGAGCCGCTCAGTCCTGAGGTGGATACTGAGATGGTCGGTCACCTCACCCGCAGGGCACTTTGGGTCGGCCTTGCCTGGCTTCTCATTTCTCTGGGCTTTAGTGGGGGCTCTGTGAGGCGGTCCCAAGGTACAAAGTGGCCCTTCACTCAGGGTCAAGACTTGGGGGCTGCAGGGGTCTTGTGGCCCCAACCAGGGGACCCAGTTCTCCCAGCTGCCTACTTGTAGGCCACGTTGGAAGAAAAGAACCCAAGAGAGGTGTGGCCGACCTTGACAACTGGAGGGTTGTCATTAGGCGAAATCTTTTGTGTTTCGAACCGAGGAGACCAGAACCTTTGAGGTCAGGGGGACAGAGAGCAGGGAGTTCCGTAACTGTGGAGCCTAGGAAACCGCAAATTGCATTTCTTGTCGGCGTCCACACCGCCTTCGCTGTGTGCACGCCGTGTTGTGGCGTCTGGGCGGCGGGGGAGAGCTGCCCCTGACCAGCGCCGGCGGACTGTGCGCAGCCCAGCAGGGAGCTGGCCGTTGTCCTAAGCCTTGGCCTCTTGGCTCAGGCAGAGATGGGCCCTCCTGCCCTGGAGCCGCTGCCCAGCGGAGCTGACCTTCCGGGTCCCTCAGGCAGCAGCGCTGGGCCCGGGCCCAGGGCGGGCGAGCAGAGTGGAGAACTGACCTCCTTGCTGAGTGTTGAGCTCAGGGGTTTTTCTAGCAAAGGGCACCGAGCGTTACCCTTCTGGTTGTGAGGTTTCTGACCTCGTCGCCAGTGGCCAGGCCTTCCTGCTTCTGCCCAGGCCGCAGATACGGTGGGTGCAGTGGGGGCCCTGTGGCTCGGGTCCCCAGTTCCCTGGCTCAGCCTCAGTTCCCTGCCGGCCCCCCACCCCCCAGTCCCCCAGGGGCTGAGGACTGGGGGGCGGCGCGCTGCAGCCCTGGGGCCAGCTGTCCAGTGCCTGCCGAGGCAGGGGGGCCCGGTCCGGGCAGGGAGGGCCTGGGCGGCACCCGCGGCGGGGGCGGGGCGCTCCCAGCGCACCTCCGGCTTCCACCTCTACGGCTCTGACCCCCAGGCGGCCGCCGGGAGGCCTTGCTTCTGGGGGTGGCCTGCTCAGCCGGTGGGGGGCCCGGTGCGTCCTGTCGCCTGCTCGGCGGCCCCGGGGACCACGTGTGGCTCGGCCGAGCGAGGTCCCCGGGGCACCGGCGCCAACCCCGCTCCTTCTCTCGCTGTGTCAGGAGGCAGTTCCCACCGTCCCCCTCGGCCCCGAAGATCCCGTCCTGGCAGATCCCCGTCAAGTCCCCGTCACCCTCCAGCCCCGCGGCCGCCACCCACCACAGCAGCAGTGACATCTCGCCCGTCAGCAACGAGTCCACGTCGTCCTCGCCCGTGAAGGAGGGCCACAGCCCCGAGGGCTCCACGGCCGCCTACCACCTGCTCGGCCCGCAGGAGGAGGGCCCGGGCCAGGTGAGGATGGAGGTGCAGGGCGAGGAGGAGAAGAGGGAGGACGAGGACGAGGACGGGAGCCGCGCGGACGCGGAGGACCGCCTGGGGGTGCAGAGGGAGGACCGCCGGGGCGGGGACGGCCAGATCAACGAGCAGGTGGAGAAGCTGCGACGGCCCGAGGGCGCCAGCAACGAGAACGAGCGGGACTAGGCCCCCCCACCCCCCAGGGCAGCCGTCCTCCTCTGGACACCTTGCCGCTCCTCCCCCTCCCCTTCTCCCAGCCCTGGGAGGGCGGCCTTGGCCTTGAGCGGGCGGGGGCGGGGGGCCCTGAGCCCTGTGCTTGGGGACGAGTTTCCGCGCAGCCGGTCTCCCCCCCCCCCCCAACGCCAGCCCCGGGGGGGGCCCCCACCTCGTCCCCACGCCCCGCTGAGGGTGCAGATTTTCCGGGCCCAGGCCCCCCTCAGCCCCGCGCCGCAGCCGGGGGTCTCGTCCAGGGCGCGCCTGCTGAGCACCTGGGCTCACCGGACGCCGTGCATGACAAGAGGTAGTTTCCCTGCCTGGTTCCCGGTCGTCCGCGTGGCGTCTGCCGATGTCCGGCCGCGGCTCCTTCACCAGCCTCGCGGGGGCCCGGGGTTGGGGGGGCTGCGCTCTCTCTCGGCAAGGGCCTCCCAGGGCCCCAGCCAGCTCTTGTCCAGAGGCTGCGCCCCCGCGCCCCCGTCCACGCCCCGCCGCGCCCGGCGTCCTTCCAGGCAAGTGGCATCATCTGCGCTTCTCCCGTCCTCGCTCGCTGCATTGTGACTCAGCCAACCCCGTGGCGGGACGTGGCTCTCACTCCCACGTAGGAGCCGGGCGTCAGGGCCCCCGCCTGCCCTTCCCCCCTAAAAACACATGTTCATCTGTGTGATCAGGTATAGGTTTCAGAATATAAGATACTACTGTATATAATTGTAATAAATACGAGTTGTCACTATTTAATTCCTGCCTGTGGCTCCCTGTCTGCTCGCAGCACCCGCCGCCCGGAAGTGGGGCTCGCCGGGGGCTGCACCCGCGAGCCCGGAAGGGGGCCGAGGGGGGTGTCTGGGCGGCCCTTCCTGTGGGCCCGATGGGGGACGGGCCCTTTCCCGAGGCAGGTTTCGTTAGCTGCTCACCGACAGCTGGAGGGTTTGGTCCTCGGCTCGCAGCGCGGAAGGGCGACATCCTGATGCAGGGAAGGGACCTCGTGTTACTGTATATAGACCTGGTGCTGCGGGTGATGAGCTCTCCTTCCTTAAATGGATGAATGTGCTCCCAGGAGAGCGTGTGTCTCGCTCTGTCTTCCTCCCCCGTCTCCCGCTCTCCCTCCCCGTCTCCCTTTAACCTTCACACAGCGCTCAGCTGTGCCCGGAAAAGCATGCGACGCTCCTTCCAAGGGGCCCCTGCTCCCTCAAGCCCGGTGCCGCGTGCGGACGGTGGGCACGGCCACTTCCAGGCGCCCTGTGTAGATACCAGCTGGGGACAGAGTGCAGGGCCGGGGAGGCGGAGCCCTGCGGGCGCGCGCCTCGCTCCCTGCTGGTGCCCATGTGCCCCGGCCTCGTGCCCAGCCGGCGCCCCGGGCAAAGGGCTGCTCTTCGGTCTCGGGCAGCGTTCCTTCTCCTGCCTGGGCTCCCTTTTGGGGCTGGGAGCTCAGTCCCCTTCCCGCCGCCGCAGACCCGCCTCTGTGGCCCAGGGCGTCAGGGGACGGTGGCTCGGCCCTTCCCGACCCTCCTGAGCGTCCGGGCCTCTGGGTGTCACCGTTGATGCTCACATCCTCCCATAACGTCCCTGCAGTCCCTTTTCCCACCACGTGCCCCCCCGGGCCAGGCCGAACGCTCAGGGACTCCGTGCGGGGGCGACGAGCCTGCCCTGGGCCAGGACCCCCGGGTGGGGAGCCGGGCGGCCGGGCCGAGACGGAGGAGCACAGGGCCTGGCGCCTGGGCTGCGCCCTTGGCTCCGACGTGGGGTCCGTGGGACGCGGCTGGAGAGCGGCTGTTTCGCAAGCTCTCCTCAGTGAAGGGAAACCCCGGGTCCTCGGTGGGCACTTTGGGGTTCTCCCCGGTCAGCTTGGTGACCATTTGTCATTGTCTCTAACTTGGTGTTGAGCTTTCCGGAGGCCCCTCCCGCAATGGCACCAGATGGGGGGAGCAGAGGGCAGGTGGCCTTGGCCGGAGCCGCTGGGGGGGTGCACTGGAGGGGAGTCCGGGCAGTGCCCCCTTCCCCCAGACGGGACTACCTGAGGCTTCAGCGTCCCCAGCGGGGGGCAGAGGGGGGTCCGCTGGCCCGCGGGCAGGAGATGAGGTGGGTCCTGAGCTCCAGTGTTGGCTTTTGAGGACAGAGAGTCTGGCGAGATTTCAGGGAGGGGAAAACCCCTCCCCAAAACGGCAGGAGTGCTGCCTAATAAAGGCAGCCGCTGGACGGAGGGAAACAGCGCTTTGAAAAAAAAAGCCTTTCATTAGAAAAATAATGCATTTCATCCAAATAAGGTAAAAATATTTGGAATGGGGCAGAAGTGAGCAGCAGGCAGCGCCCGTCAGGCCTTTCTGGAAGGGGGAAGATTATTAAACTCAATTACAATGTAGTTTGGTAAAGCGTCATTTAGGAAAGAACAGGCCCCAGTGCGGGGAGGCTGTGGGCCGGCCCTCCTGGCCCCGGGGTCTCCCCAGCCACCCCCTGTGACCCCCTGGCTCTGCGGGGCCTGGCGTCAGCGTCAGCGTCAGCGCTGTCCCAGGAGCAGAGCCCAGAGCGGAGGCCAGGGAGGCTGCTCCCCCACCTGCGCGCCCGGCCTCCCCCACCCCCGCCCCCCAGGTCTGGGAGGGGGAGCTCCCTGGGGGAGGGAAGGGGCTGCTGAGATTTACGTGTTCGTCTTCTCTCATGTTATGGAAGCACATCTCAGATGTTTAAAAAATCCGGTCACTATAGAAGGGAGCAGAGAGCACACGATCTCCCCTCTACTGTCTGTCTGGTTTTGCGGGTGCACTTACAGCCCCCCCAGCCCCGCCTATATTTTAATAAAGACGGGACATTCCTTTCACCCTGTCCTGTGACCTGCCTGTCTCACTGAGAGTGAATCCTGTGTCTTTGCGGGCTCACACCAAGTGGGAGCGGGGGTTCTCTAGAAGGTTCTTCTCTCACCTTTGCCCTTCGCCTAGCCAGGAGCACTGAGGTTGGTTCTTGGGTCTGGGACCAGAACAGCCTTCTCCTCTGGTGACTGCCCAGCCCTGTCCCTGCCCCAGCCCTCCCCTACCCCTGCCCCGGCCCTGCCCCTGCCCCAGCCCTCCCCTACCCCTGCCCCAGCCCTGCCCCAGCCCTCCCCTACCCCTGCCCCAGCCCTGTCCCTGCCCCAGCCCTCCCCTACCCCTGCCCCAGCCCTCCCCTGCCCCAGCCCTACCCCTGCTCCAGCCCTCCCCTACCCCTGCCCCAGTCCTGTCCCTGCCCCAGCCCTCCCCAACCCCTGCCCTGCCCCTACCCCACCCCTACCCCTGCCCCAGCCCTGCCCCAGCCCTCCTCTACCCCTGCCCTGCCCCTATCCTTGCCCCAGCCCTGTCCCTACCCCTGCCCTGGAGCCCAAAGAGGAGGAAGGCAGGCAGGAGACATTTTCTGACAACCTGATCCCAGGAGTTTACTTCATCCTTAGTGTTTCCTCGTCTGTTTGCTTAAGACGGTTGCTGCCAAGCCACCCAGAAAAGAGGGTCGGAGGCTCCACGCGGCAGGTGTGAAGGTGCCTTTGAGACCCTGCAGGTGTGGCCCCAGCCTCGGGGGAAGTGCTCCCCCAGAGGTAGACCCCAGTCTTGCCCCCCATGCCTTTGCCCTGGACCCTGGGATCCGCCACGCCCGCGGATCCATAGACCCCCCTCAGGGTGGGGCGCTGATCTGTGGCGGCCGCCCCCCGCCTGGGGAGAGCCGGCTTAGGCTGACATGCAGGGCCTGAGCTGGGGGGTGCTCTCCGCGGCCCCTTTGTGCCCCCCCAGCTCCCATCCCCCACTCCCACCCCAGCAAAATTGTGGGGGCCTTTCACCTGAATTACGAGCAACCCTTAGTAGTTACTGATCACTTTCAAGTTCATGCTCTTCGAGAAGAAGAGATATGATTTTACTATTTCGTAAGGAGAGCGCCCGAAGCCTTTCCTTGTTCCCTGACAAGCCCTGGAAGGATCTTCTTTATAGTGACAGGGCCGCAGTTTTACATACACCCCGGAAACTCCAGCACCCGGCCCTCCGCACAGCACCCGCAGCCGCAGCCCTGGGAGAATTGTTTCCAGGCACAAGCAGCTCCCGGGGTGCCTTCCAGACCCAGGGCGCAGCACCCAGGCCTGCGGGGGCCCTGGCCAGGGCCGAGGGCATCCTTTGGTGGGGAAAAAGCTTTGGACTTTCCGAGGCCATGTGTCCCCCACCCCCCGCCCCTGAGCAGCATGGGGCACAGGGCGCACAGGAGCAGCAGCTGCGTCCGGCCACTAGGCACCGTCTGCCTCCCTCCCGTGCTGGCTGCGGGCCTCCTGGGAGCTGCTTCCTGTCTGGCCCACCCGAGAGGGTGGGGCGGCTCCTCCCTGCGAGGGTGGCACAGGCCGGGCCCCACTGGGTCCCCAGGGCCCCAGCCCGTCTGAGGGCCCCGACTGTCCACCTTGCTTCCTGGATGCCTCTCTGCCTGGCACCTGCTGTGGCCTGGCTGTGGGCCAAGCCAGCCTGTGGCCCAGGGCCGCCTTGTGAAGGACGGGGCAGGCTGGCCGCGTGGCCTGGGGAAGGGGCTGGCGGGAGGGGGCACGGCCAATCATGAGTGCCGAGGCCCGACTCCCATGTATGAGTCAGCGGCTGGTAGCTCCCAGGCCGGGCCGGGTCCGTGGGAGGTGGGCAGGCCACTGAGCTCTGCGTGAGCCTGCGCAGCTGGTTCTGGCTCTTTCCAAGAGGTTACAAAACTCTTGAATTTGCCCCAGTTTGGGTGTAGGAGCATCACACCACCACAGCTAATTAAATCCAAGAATGAAAACATGTTTTACTGCATTTCCTACTGAGTCCAACAACCCACAGGGAGTGCGGTGGGGCCTGGGCCCACTCGGCACCCCTGCACCGCGAGCCCCACTGCCTTCTTGGGGACGAGGGACATGGTCTCATGGTGTGCCATGTGGCCACCTCTCTCTGCCCTCATATGGGGCAGTGCCTGGGACTCGGGGTAGTGAGCTGGCCCGGGGCAACGTCCTGATGGGTCACAGGTCCCTGTCCCCCTGAGGCTCTTTGAGGGGCCCCCTGAGACCTGCGACCCCCTCCCTGGGCCAGGTACGAGACCCACCTGTCCACCATGTGTGGCTCCGCTGAGATCCCTCTGGGCCCCGAAGACCTGGGGGCAGCCAGCGCAGGGGCGTTTTAGAGATCGTCCACCTTGAGTCTCTCCTCCCTCCCCTGGGCCCCAAGGAGTCCCCCCTAGGGGCAGCTGAAGATGGAGCCCCCGAGAGCTGGCCCTCACGCCTCGGCGGGCCCCTGCCCCCTGCCGCAGCGCCCAAAGGCGGCCCTGTGGTCACGCCACCCACTCACCCGACTGAGGTCTGGCCTTGGCTCCGTGCCTCCCCTTCGGCCCCACGGGAGCGGCCCACCAGGGCCTGTGAAGCTCCAATAATGGTTTTAATTTGTTGAACTTGTGTTTTATCCCATAAATTAGTCACTGTTTTATTTAACAGAATCGAGATATCCACAAACAATAGGCGAGTTCCAACTTGAACATTTTAATAAGACAGAAAAAAGTATATATTTTCGCGTCTGTTACAAACATATTTATGTAAATAGCCTGTGGGCTGCGTTCCAGGAAGAAAGAAGAAAAGGAAGGGCCTTCTGTGCTGGGGCTGGGTTGGAACCGAGGCGTTTGTGGTGGAAACGACAGTGAGCAGGGTGCTGGGAGGGTGCGGACCCGGTGGGAGGGGACAGTTCTCCCCCCCCATCCCGACCCCTCCTCCTGCTGGTGCCCGGTCACGGGGAGAGGGGCTCTTTGGGGCTTCACCTTCCTGCCCCTCCACTACCCTCCTCTGGAAGGCAGGGGTGCTCATCACAGCAGTGGCAGACCCAGCGAGATGCTCGAAGCGGAAGTACTTGGTGGGTCCCACACATCCCTCCCCCGGGCCCTGGGATGCTTTGGCCACTTGGGAGGAGGTCAGCTCAGGGCAAGACTGGCAAGGTGGGTGCAGACGACGCGGTTAAATGGGAAAGCAGGTCACCGTTTAGAAATGTCAGGGCAGGCGAGGCCCGGTGCCTGTATTCCTGCCACCCATGCTTCTGAGGGAGCCCCCCGCCGTCAGGCCCCAGGGCCGCAGTTCAGGCCCGGGGCTGGTGGCTGCAGACCTAGGAATTGGCCCCCTCTGGCTCTGCCCCCACGTGCTCCGGGCAGGAGCCGAGCCAGCATCCGGATCGGATCCGGGTACGCGCCGTTCCCAGCCCAGGCAGGTCCCTGCAGGAAGGAGGAAGGAGCCGAAGGAGGCGGCGAGGGATGACCTGCCAAGCGCCTGCTCAGTGGCCCTGGCTGGGGGAGGCCGGGGTGGGCCCGGGTCTCGGGGCAGGGGTGCCGGGGGAGGGGGGGGGGGCATACGGAGCCTCTGCCTGAGGCTTCCAGGCCACTCAGCTCTGCCGTCCGGCAGCCCCTGAGCCTCACTCGGGGGCTTCAGGCAGCGCCGGGGACGGAGGTCACCGTTCCGGTGGTCAGGACCCGAGCTCCCCACCGTCTGTCCCGGCAACCTGGGGGAACTCGGCCCCATCCCAGGGCCAAGCTGGTCTGCCCCTTCCCTGCCAGAGCTGAGGAGCGACCGACTCCCTCCCCTCGTCCCCACCCTGGCACGTGGAGCCCGGCCACGGCTGTGCCGTCCTGCGTGGCCAGATCACTGCCAGCCACTCGAGGCTGATTTTAAAAATAAAAGATCCCTTGATAGATTTTTTTTCCAGTTTTTATTGAGTGAAAATGTCAAACCTTGCATCAGTCATGCAAAAAAAAAATCAAATAAATAAAACACATATATTAAATTTCTAATAGCACTAAATTCAAGTGGAAAAATATTCAGTTCTTAATAACCAGGTGCCGAGGAGACCAGATTCAAGTAATCAGAGCACACGCTGTTCAGTTCGGTTTTCACGTTCTGCATTTTTCGTCTCAAAACCTCTCTATATATCTCTATATATCTATATATGTATATACATATAGATATATACACACACATATGTGCATACATATTATTTTATATTTATATATATACACATACATAGTTATAAAACATTAAAAAGAGCATTGGTGGATCAAGCATTGTTTTCCCCACAGAAAGAAAATAAAACAAAAATTACACGTTAAAATTCAAAATGAGCTAGCAATGGCTTATAGTCCTAGTGTGCAATATGGAGTTTACAAAAGGCTAGACTTCCCACTGTCGGCATCTTCTTTTTTCTTTTTTCTTTTCTTTTTTTTTTTTTGTTGGCTTTTTTTGTTGTTAATTTTGCTACATTGAAAAATGTTTTTTGTGTTTTGTTTTCTGTTTTTGTTTTGTTTCCTTTACAAAACTCCCTCCACACACCCAGCGGCTCGGCACAGAGTCTGGGCGAATGTCAGCAGCAGCGCGAGGCGCCCACAGAATTCGGGAGGCTCTGGTGCGGGACACGGGTTAGGAAATGATTTGCTCCCTGTTGAGTCAGGTGCGCTCCGTCTGACCACTCCTCCCTCCCTGCTCCCTCTGTCCAGTGCAGGTGATCCTGGCTCTCTGGCTGTGGGCAGCCAAGAGGGGACACACACACACACACACACACACACTCACACACACACACACACACACACACACATGTGCGCACACACACACACGGACAAAAAAAAAAAAAAAACCAGTGCCCACCTCCCCGCCATCAGGTGGGGCTCCTCTTGGAGATCTGCAGGGACAGGCTGGGCTCGGCTCTCTGCCTGTGACTGAGTCTCAGGGTCCAACCTGGGCCAGGCTGGTGGCTGGGACTGGAGACCCGGGAAGCTTGGGCAGCCTGTGCTGGGTCCCTGTCGCCTTCAGAGCTCGTGGCCGGGTGTGCGTCAGCCAGATGCCCCCCACGACCCCCCAGCCCCCCAAGTCGGGCAAGGTGGCCTCCTCCTCTCCAGGAAGTGGGGATGTTTTGAAAAGGGACCCAAACCTGGGTGGGTTGCACTGGCGAAGCATCCCAAACAAAATAATAAAAACCAACCGGGGGCGGGGGGGGGGGGAAGCCCTATAAAGCCACACGCATAACCAATAGAGAAAAACTCAAATGTTAAATACAAACTTGTATCAACAGTAATCGTCCTTTTTCTTGTTTCTACAAAATTCAAGTTAAAAGTTGGAATCACGCAGCTCCCGTCAGTGCTAGTGTAAAGACAGACAGCCTCAAACTGGTAAGGCCTCTAAAATAAATGCTAAACGCAGTCCCACGTGAGCGATTGCACTCGGTCTCCAACCTCAGGGCTGGTCCGAGGCGGGCCTGCGCTCTCACAGCCCGCCTGCCTCTTTTTTCTTTTTGTTCTATGTAGAATAATAACCTTTACAGGAAAAATACTGTACAACTTTCTCGCATTTTTTTTTCCATTTTGGATATTAAAGCCCCAAACAGTGGTATCCTTCCTGTTCCCGCCACGTGGGTGGCTGAGACCCCGGCGGGGCCCAGCATCCCAGCACCTGCCGCTCTTGCGTTTGGAAGCGGACACAGCCTCGGCCCTCCGGGCGCAGAGGCTGGGGCCTGGGAGTCACCGCGCGGCTGGCGTCCAGGCCCCAGCCCTGGGGGTGGGGGTGGCAGATGCGGGTTCGGTCCCAGCGGAGGGGGGGTGGGGGCCGTGCCCCGGTCTGCCAATTCCGTGAGGTTTCCTCCGCGGTCCCTGCAGTGTCGCTGGCGCTGGCGCCTCTGGCCCGCCCTCCCCCGCCCCCCAGGGCCAGGAGGGAGGATCTTAGCTGCATGAATGGGGAGGCCCTGCCAGATGCAACCCGGGCCCGCCTCTGGGGGTTCGGGGTGGGGGTCGCGGTGACCCCCAGCGCCCTTCCCATTCCTGAGCAATGAGGAATCCCACCGGCGTGGTCGCGGGGCCCAGGGTCCGACCGCGGGGAGGGGCGCGCGGGGCCGTTGCCCGAGTGTCTGCGCGCCCGCCTCGCCCTCGGGGACTGGGGGGGGGGGCTCCCTGCTCCTCGGTCCCACCCCGGACAAGAGCACCTTCTGTTTCCCTGAAGAAGAAGATCCCCGAAGTGCAGCCTGTCCTTCCAGCCGCTGGCCGCGCGCCGCGGGCGGGGGGGGGGGGCGGCCCTGAGCACCAGAGGGAGGCCCCCGCCTCTGTCCTGAGACGGACTCGGGGTCCGGAAGCACCAGCGGGGCCGCCCCGAGCCCGGAGCGCCTCCCCACGCCGGCCCCGGGTGCGATGGCGTAGCTCTGGCCGCGGGTGGGGGGGGCAGGAGGGGGCAGCGTTACACATAAGTAGCATCTCTTACAAAAGGAATCACAATGGCCACCACGGGAGAGGGGCGGGCGACGCGTCCCCGACGGGCGGGCTAGGGCGACGCTGCGGCGGGCGCGGGGGCCGTCAGCTCCGGGCTCCGCGCCCCGCGCCCCGCCGCCGCCGCCGCCGCCTCGGGCAGCGACTCCTCGGAGTCGGTGCGCAGGTCCTCGTCGTCGTCGTCGTCGTCCTCCTCCTCCTCCTCCTCGTCGTCGTCGTCCTCGTCGTCGTCGTCGTCGTCGTCCGCCTCCTCCTCAGGCAGCTCCAGCTCCTCTTCCTCGTCGTCCTGCGACGACTCAACGGCCCCCGCGGGGCCGGGCGCGGGCGCGGCGGGGCAGTCGCGGGGCGCGGGGCCGTCGGGCGGGCCGGGGTCCCCGGAGTCGCCCGCGTTGCCAGGCCCCAGCCCCAGGCCCGCGGGCGCGGCGGCGGCGGCGGGCGGCAGGAAGAGCAGGGGTCCCCCGGGCTCGGTGCCCAGCGACAGCGCGCCGTCCAGGCCGACGGCGGGGCCCGGGGACGCGGCGGGCGGCTCCCCGCGCTCCTGCTTGTCGTGCTTGCGCTTGTGCGAGTCCATCTGCGACATGCCCACGACCGTGTGGCGGCAGCCCGGGTAGGTGCAGTGGAAGTGCGAGCACTTGAGCTTGTACTTGCAGTCGGGCACGGCGCAGTCGGCGCTCGAGCTGAACTGGCAGAAGCCCGCCGCGCTGATCACGTCCTGCTTGCCGTGGTGCTTGCGGTGCGCCGTGACCTTGGTGCTGTCGGTGCAGCGGAAGCGGCAGCGCAGGCAGTGGAAGTGCGTGCTGGAGCCCGAGAAGGGGCAGTCGGCGAAGTGGCAGCTGAGCGACGCCTTGAAGCGCTTGAAGTCGTCCAGCACGAGGTTGTCCACGCGGTCATGGTGCTGCGCGTGCTTGTACATGTGCGTGCGGCCGCAGAATTTGTAGCCGCAGTTCTCCCGCGTGCAGTGATAGTGCGTGACCTTGAGCGAGAACTGGCAGGTCGGGTCCCTGCAGTCCTCATAGAGGTCGAAGCGCCGGAAGCCCTCCAGCATCATGCCCTCGTCCAGCATCTTGCGCGAGGAGGCCGTCTTGCGCCTCTTGCCGAACGGCGACATGTCCTCGATGATCCAGAAACGCTTTTTGGCGCCAGAGGCCGTGGGCATGGAGATGGTGTTCCCTGCGGAGGGGCCGGGGGAGGTCAGTGTGCACGGGGTCGCCTTTCCCAGGATCACACCCACGCAGGGTCCCCGGTCCCGCCCGGTGGTCGGGCGGAGCGCTGGGGGGTTGGCTTCCCGACACTCGGGGGGGCCTCGCCCACTGCCCTTCCCCAGCAGAGCCAGGGAGCCCCAGGCTTTCCCTTGCGTCATCCCGTGTCTGCAGGACGGGCGACCACACAGGCATCCGCCCCTCGTGCGGCAGAGCCAGCGGCCCGGGGGATGTGGTGGCCGCTTCCTGGCCAGTCTGGGTGGGAAGTGAGGACGCGTCCTGGCGCTAATTGAAGCTGAGGGGGAATCTAGGTCGGGGAGTGTAATTGCCCAGGTTGGACGCACGCCAGGACGCCATCACACTCCCGCCTCTAATGAGGGACAGGCGGGCTCCTCCCGGCGGCTAACCCGGTTCCCCGGCTGCCCACCTGTCTGCACAGGAGACCCGCCTACTTCCCCGCAGGGATGCCCTGCGCCCCGGGGCTGTTTGGAGTTGTAACTCCCTGCCCTGAGGGACACCTTCCCCTTGGTACCCGAAGCTTCTTTGAAGTCTGGTTGGGGTCTTCTGCCCGCAGTGAGCCAGGAGAGGGCAGGTCTGAGGTTCCCATCTGTGCCCTCCCGACCAGACCCAACTGCCGCCCTGGACCCAGGGTGGTCCATTACCAGGGCTGCCTGACTGAGAGCAGTTTTAATTGTCACCCCCTTTCTGGGCCCTGCCGCCGTGGCTCGAGGGGCAGCGGCCCTGGCACTCCCGGCTCCACACCCCAGAAAAGAGAGAAACCTTCAGGGGCTGGCCCTACCCAGGGTTGAGGGTGGGCATTCTCCGGGCTTCTCCCGTGTGGGTGACCTGCTCTGCCAGCCCTGAACCCGCCCAGAATGCCCGGCCTCCACGGCACCACTGTGCTACGTCATCCATTTAGGGAACAAACCAGGCACCCCAGCCCCGCAGGTCAAGAGAAACCAGGGGCGGGAACGGTGCGGGGTGTGCGGCGCAGGACACGGGAGGGTGTGGGGCCTGGAGATCTGGGTGAGAGAGAAGTGGCTGCTTTGGGTCTGAGGGCCCAGGGCTCTGTGCGGTTATGCCAGTGACTGCTTTCCACGGGAAGAATTCCAGAAGGGAGACCTTCTTTCTGCCGTACCCCCGGGTCTGGCACAGGGCTGGCCTAGCACTCAGCAGAACGGGAGCAAAAATGAGTGAAGGAAGAAGGTGCGGGGCCGGGGTGATGACCACACCAAGGGGAGGGGCAGGCAGGTCCCAGCCCTGCGGGGCATCTGATATGCAGGGGTGAGGGGGTGGGGGTGGGACCCAGAGGCACCCCTGCCATTGAGCACTGCCCGGGCCCTGGGCCACAGAGACTCCCTCTTCCTGCTTGGCTCCAGGGCTGGGGGGTCGGGCCGGTGTCAGGGCCCTGCTGGGCCCCAGTGGTGAGCAGGAGCCGAGAGGACATCTGGTTTTGTGGGGTGCTGGGCTGTGAGGGACGCAGGGGGGCCCTGTCCTGGCCCCAGCAGGCCACAGGGAAAGGTCTGGTCCCGGACCACGGCCTCGCAGGTCAGCGGAGGTGACACACACTGGCGAGAAGGCATGTGCGAGTTACCTGCAGCGTCCTGAACTAGGGGGACGTCACTTTTTACTGGAGATGCAGTGGCAGTGGCGGGCGGGAGGCGGGGCGGGCTGCTGACTGGGTGGCCCAGGCCCCGGGTGGCTCCGAGAGTGGCACTGAGCAGAGAGTATGAGAGACAGGGCGGAGAAAAGAGGCATGGGAGGGAGGGGAGGGGCGCCCGGAGCACGGCCGCTGAGAAGGATGGGGTCAGTGGGGGCTGCGGAGCCACGGGGGCAGCCTCGTCGCCAGCGGCAGCAGGAGGAGGAAGAGGAGGAGGAGGAGGAGCCGGGCAGCCTGGAGAGGGTGGAGAAAAGCAGAAAAAAAAAAAAGAAAAAAAAAAAAAAAAAGAAAACGAAAACAAAGAAAAAACAAACAAAAAAAAGAACCAAAATGAGAAACCCAATGGCAGAAGCAAGTATGATATGAAAACACGTGGACAGATGACGAGCAGAGAAGCGTCACAAGAGAAGAGTGGGGAAGGAGGTGACAGGAGGAGAGAACGGGGGGGGGGGGACGCTGTACAGGGAGGGGCCGTGGGGGGGCTCAGAGAGGGCCTGCGGCAGAGCCCGGCCCTGGTGGGACCCCAGTTTGGGGTCCAGGGCCCGAGCTTCGGGACGATGGCAGAAGGGCCAGAAGAGAGGCCGCGTGCCCGGGCCCTGGGCCCTGGCAGGTCCCCGGCCCCCCCTGCCCTTCCAGCTGGGGGCTGGGCTGCTCTGAGCCGGGGCGCCCACCGAGGACCAGCCTGGCTCCTCTCCGGGAAACCGCAGCCGAGGGCTGAGTGCCGGCAGGAGGGGGCCCTCAGCGTCCCCCAGACCAGCTGGCCCTGCCACACACTGAGGCTGCCTCTGTCCTTCGAGGCCGCTTGACCATGAACCTCCAGTCCTGAGACGGACCCTGCGGCGCCTTGGGCCGGGAGCGTCCGGCCCCCGAAGTCTCCTCCTGGCCTGCTCGCCGCCCCGCCCCGCGCTCACCTGGCGCCGTGCTCTCGTTGCCCACGGGGGTGCTGGAGCAGCTCCGGTCCATGGTGGGCGACTCAGAGGACACGGCGCCCGGGCTGCAGCCCGTGTAATCCATGTACTCGTCTGTCTCCGTGTCCATCAGGCTCGGGGGGCCCTGAGAGGAAGAGGGGGTGCCCTGAGGAAGTTGGGCCGGTTGGGGGGGGCGGCGCTGTGCTGCGCACAGAGGGCAGGCTATCCCTCCGGGCGGGACAGGGGGACGCCCTCTTGGCGCCCTGGCACTCACCTGGGAGGGGGGCACGCGATCGAAGTTCTTGCCCAGCATCCTCCGCATGTGTTTCCGGGCGTGGGAGGTCATCTGGTGCTTGAGGAGGAAGGAGAACTGGCAGCCTTCCCGGATGCAGTGGAAGTGGCTGTTCACCTGGTTGTACTTGCAGCCTGCGGACACAGCCCCGCGGGCCGTGAGTTTCCTGCCCCCGGCCGTGCACAGGGCACCCACCGCGCCTTCAGGGCAAGGCAGATGGCGGCATCTGGGGAGGGGACGCATGCCCCACAGTGGCATTCCCCACCCCCAGGGGGAGGGGGTCCTAGGCCCTGAGGCTGGCCAAAGCCTAGGCGCACCCCCTCTGGCCTCAGTGGCCAGGCAGGGTCCCATCCCATGCCCCTTGCACTGAGGGGGTCCCGGGGCTCCAGGGTGAGAGACCCTACTGACCTGTCCGCCAGGTCATCCCCCTCCAGGCAAGCCACTTGTCTCCACATCTCTGGGGAGCCCGGGGGGCCTGCCCCCAGACCTGTGTAGACCTCTGCCCCGCCCCCGCCCACCTCTGCGTCGCTCTGGGCTGAGTACAAACAGAGCGGGCGAGACTGCAACTGTGTCAGCAAAGGGCAGGTGAGGGCCTGCCCGTTGCCATGGCGCCGGGGCTGGCCAGGTGTCTTCTATCATCCCCCAGCTTTGTTTGGCCCCAACTACCACCAAAAACACCCAAAGTTGAGTAAATACCGACAGCTACAGAATACCCTGACCCTCGTAAACTGAGCCCAAGGACGGCACAGGCCACCAAATGTTGACATCTGTTGTCATGGTTACCAACCCTCTCCCAGGCCATGAATTCTTTTTGAATTAATACTTGAAAGAAAGGTTTGTTTCCTGTCTTTTCTGGCAGTTGCTCTGAGTATCTCACCCCTACCCCGCAGAGGGGCCGGTGTGCAGCAGCCGCGAGGCCCCACCTCTGCTCCCCCAAGGCCCTGCTGCTATGACCACCTGAGTCACAACAGGCCTGGCCTGCAGCCCAGCTGTCTGTGCCTGGCCTGCCTGGCCGCCACCTGCCTTCCAGTTTCCAGTTTTTTCCCTGGCAGATTCCTACCCCACATCTGCAGGCCTGCGAGTGTGTGGCTCCATCCTGAGGCAGGTGGGTGGGCTCTGCGCCCCCCACCCCCACCCCGCCTGAAGGAATCCCCAGGGCAAGCTGGGGCCAGGGAGCTCCTCGGGAGGCCGGGTCCGGGGCCCTGGGTGGCCTCCCTGCCGTGGGACCAGCCCTCAACAGCAGCAGACTCAGCTCCCTGGCGTCTGCTGCGAAGCTCAGAGCCATCTGCGGCCTCCTTCCCAGCCCCATGGCCACCTCCTTCTGGGTCGCACCAGGTCACAGATGCTCTGGGCTGACCTACAGCATACCTGCTCGTCCCACCAGATCCCCACCACCGAGCACTGTGCTGGCCAGAGCAGATACTCAAAACCCTGAGCTCCCCCCCACCCCCCACTTCCGGTAACAGCACGGAGCCCTGAGCACCGCTGTCCCTGATAGGCATCTGCTGAATGAGCAAAGGAACCAGGGTCCATCCTGGGCAAAGCCCTTGTAGTCAGAGCCATGGAAAGAGATCCAGAGCAAGGAACTTCAGGGGCTCCTATGATATCGGCCCGCCCTCTCGAGAGAACAGGAAGGAGCACCGAGTCCAGGGCCTGACTTGGATGACGAGGCCCCAGGCGTTTTCCCCAGAGGTAGGCGGGGCACTCTGAGTCACTCTCACCCCTTTTCCTGGGCTCTCTGTATTTTGACAGTTTCCCCTGTTTGACGATGCCTGGTGACATCAACGGCGTTTTTAACAAAACACAGAGTCTGATGTGCAGGGATAAGAGGTGGGTCCCAGGAAAGCTGGCCCGGGCCACCAGGGCCTCAGGGGCCAGAGCCACAACCCTGCTGCCTGCTGCGGGTCTCTGCCCCCGACCCCAGCCTTCAGTACCTAGCCTGCCACACTCCTCGCGCTTGGTGAAGTACTTGAATCCGTTGGCTGCCCGCCGCTCAGCTTTCTCATGCTTCTTTATGTGCCACGGCAACTTGGTGGTGATGTTGGTCACAAAGTAGCAGCCGGTCCGGAGGCAGTGGTAGTGTCCACGCATCCGGAACTCGCAGTGCTGCCAGGAGGGACAGGAGGGTCACAGCCAGGCTGACCGCTTCTCTGAGCTCCCACCTGGCCCATGGCTCTGGGCTTGGCAGGCCCTTTGCCCTTCCGTGCTCAAGTCAGAAAACACAACTGGGTACAGGCCTTTCATGTATTAAAAAAGTGGAATGTTCCTTTTGTAATCGGACTGAAATATCCTTCCTGGTAATCGTGCCACCCATCTCTAATTCCACACCCAGAGCAGACATCACTAATCTATCCCAGCATCCTCTCTGGAGGCTGGGGCTTCAGCAGACATCACTAATCTGGCCTAGCACTCTTCTCTGGAGTGCCCAGCTCTAGGATCAGGATCCTTCTCAAGGCGTTCTGCCAAACAGCCCCTACCAGTTTCGGGGTAGGCCTTTACGGCGAACTTGATCTGCCCTTCCTTGATCTGCCCTTCCTCTCTGGGGCACGGGCAGTTCAATCTCTAGCTGTCCGCTGGGCCTATTTTAAAATTCTGGGCCTCTGGGGAAAGGGAGCATAGTTCCAGGATGGGCAGAATGATGCCAGGTGCACAGTGGCTGCCCAGCCTGGGGCCACCGTGGAGGGTCAGGATGAAATGACAGCCCTCACCAACTCTGGACCCCTGCCCAGGGGCCTCCAAGGGCCCGGGGGCAGACAGTGCCCTTTCCAGAGCCTGGACGAGGCCAATTCAAAACGGGCGTGAGAGATGGAACGAATCCCTGCCGGGAGGAGCCAGTCGGGACCCTGCTGCCTCCCTGTCCCCCCACCCCGGGCCCCCACCCCCACCTGTCCCCGGGACTGACCTGGTTGGGACAGAGACACTGGAGTGAGTAGTACGCAAACTGGTCTCGCACGTTCACCAGGTTGTTGTTGGGGTTGATGTGGTCCAGGCAGTGGGACTCGGCCTTGCCCGAGGTTTTACAGACATACTTGCAGTTGCCGAAGAGACAGTGGAAGTGGAACTTGTTGGCGTACTTGCAGTCCGTCGCGAGGCAAGGATCGCTGGAATGAAACCACAGCCCAGAAGGTCACTGGCGTTCCCGGAGCCCTCCCTGCCGACACCCTGACATTGGTCATGCTGGGGCTCTGCTCCCTAATTCCCTGTGATGCGGCCCAGGGAGTGGCCCCTGGGGCTGCCCTCCTGCTCCACAAGTGGACTCGGCCAGAGGAGACTACAGATCCCAGCATGCACTCCTGCCTTCTTTTTGGAGCTCGGCTGTTGCAGAAAGGGTTGCAGTGTGCAGCCTGCCCGGAGCATTGCATGCTGGGACATGTAGTTTCCACGGCCACACCTCAGGATTATAGATAAGGCGGCTGCAATAACCTCTTGGATACGAAAATGAGAGATGGCGCTGCCAGCCCTGGCGGGTGCCAGCAAGTGCCTAGCTGGCATGGCACAGGCACTGCCCTGGGTGTGGCTGACTGACAGGGTGCAGATGGGTGGGCAGCCCTACCCGGAAGCTCTGCTCCCTCAGGGCCCTGGCTAGGGGGAATGTGTGCCTGGTGTCAGGTCCTGCTGAGGCGCACAGCTGCTGGGGGCCCCAGGGTCAGGCCGGGGCTTGGGGCTCCCGCCCACTCAGAGAACCTCACCAGCTTGCTGAGTGGTGGTGCTCGGGGCAGGGAGGGGTGCTGGGCTGAGCCCCCATGCCAGCCTGCCCTAAGAGCAGCAGCCCTGCCCCACAGCCTGCCTCCTGGGCTGCAGACAGGGGTGGAGGATGCCATGCCCCTGCCTTCTGCCCTGGCTGGCACCACGGCTGCCCCCAAGGTGGCCCCAGGGCCGGAATCCGGCCACACTGGCGAAACTAAGAGGCCTGCCGCTGTGGGGAGGTGGAACGGAAGAAGGGGAGCTCGGGGAGGAACGGAGAGGAATGCAGGTCCCCTTCCACGCCAGAGGCCCGGCCCCAGGTGCCCAGAGAGGGGGGACAGCTGCCACTCAGGCGGTACACGTTCACATCCAATTTATTACTTTTATTGAGAACAGGAAGCCGCACACATAAAGATACAAAGTCACCGTTCTCGCCGCAAGGCGCCACCACCATCCAGTGAGGAAGGTCCCTTCCACCCCTGAGAGCTCAGACCACTGTGCAAACGGGGGTGGGCCTGCAGGGGGCGCCTACCCCCACCCCCCACCTCGGCCCATGACTTCGCTTCTCCTGCAAAGACTCAGCCGCCTGCGCGAGTCACAGAGTCCAACAAGGAGGACCAGAGTGAGACGCGGCCTTCCTTGCCCGGCCCACCTAAGCTGGTCCTCACGGCACCAACACTGCCCCTCTGGAACAGCGGCCGCCGCCACCACCACCTCCTCCTTCTCCCACCCTGGTGTCCCGCTCGGGGAACAGGCAGCGAGGCCAGAGCCGCGGCATCTTTGGCTAGAAGGACAGCGTCCGATGACCGTGTCCCAGAGAGGCTGGGGACAGCCCGGGCCCACTGCAGGGTGAGGAGCAGGGCGTCCTTGGCCGCCCTTGCTAGCACCTACTCCCGAGACACGCGGGGGACACGGGACTCCCGTCTCATCGAGGGACTCACTTCTCCTGGAACTGGAGGAATCCGGGTTTGACCTGGGGCTTGGCGTTTTCTAGAGAAGTCGTTGCCAAGGGCGAAGTGGGCAGGTGAGGCACTGACGCTGGAATCTGAGGCATCTGGGGGATGGTGGAGGCCAGCTGTTTCCAGGCAAGCAGCGTGGGGGTGGAGGGCACGGCTGCCGGGCTGGGAGTGGGACCCTCCAGAGAGGCTGTGGTGACAGGAGGCGCTGGAGGGGACGAGGGGGCCAAGGCAGGTTTGGTCTCTGCAGCTGAGGTGGGGAAGGGAGCCTCTGGGTTTCCCTTCACTGCTCCTCCCTCCGTCCGGAAGTGGAAGCTGCAACAGGCAGAAACGGTGGCTCAGGTGGGGAGCAAGAGGGCCCTGCACAGGTAGCCTTTCCCTGGGTGTGACCCCATCACAAGCCTAGGGGGCCAGTGTCCCCCCCTAGTCCCCAGCACCAGGTGTGATGCCACCAGGAGGGAAGGACTGAGAACAAACAGCTGTGTCCTCTGGTTCTGAACTTGGGCTCCTGGCTCGGCCCTCGCTATGTCTTCCTGTTGTGTCTGTCGCTAGCCCCTTCCTATGCACAGCAGGAGACAGGGAGGGCGCACGAAGTCTGTGCTTCCAGAATCTGCCCTGAGAATTGAAGGTGGGTCTTGCTCGGCCTTTGGAGATAGCTCTTCTGCAGACTAGCAGCTACAGCTGCCTGAACAGTGAGCAGAGCCCGAGCTGGGGCCCAGCAGTGGCCAAGGTCTGTGTTAAATGTCTGTGAGTTCTGGGTTCAATTACAAGAGGTGGCTGGCCTGCTGCTTTTCAGTTCAATGGGTTTACAAATTAATTTCATTATTTTTAGGTCAAAGAGAATCTACAGATGCAATACTGTGGCTTGGAAAGGCCTTCACCTAGGGTCCCTGCCTGGGTCAGGGCAGGGTCTCTCCAGCTGGCTTCATAGGGAACATCTGTGGCCGAGCTGCCGGCCACACTGGGCGGGGGCGGGGGGCAGGCAGAAGTAGCTGCTGAGGGTCTCTAGGTGGGGCCTGGAAAGGCTCAGAGGACCCGGCTGGAGGGCTGAGCAGGTAGAAGGATGGAGAAGCCCACCTTTTTCAGGCAGTATCTTTTAAGAAACCATCTCAACTCTTTCTGAGTTCTGGTGGGAGCAGCACACGGGGCCAGTTTGGAAGGCAGCTAGAGACCCTGGCAGCCTGCAAGCCCACGCAGCCTGGAGCCAGGCTGGGATGAAAGAGGCTAGGTTTCCCTGGGCCCTGGGCCCCCCCACTCACTTGGCATGCTTGATGGCCCCGTCCAGGGTGCTGAAAAGCGCTCCGCACTCCTCCACCACGCAGTGGAAGTGTGCCTTGTGAAGGAAGTCACACTGGGCATCACAGAAGTCCTTGGTGCCAAACCTGGCCAGAGGAAGCGGTGGTCAGAGGAGACCCTGGGGCACCGGACACCACGACGGGTGGGCGTGGCCCTTCCTGCTCCTTTGCTCTGCCAGGAAGCCCCTCACCTTCGAAGGTACACCTTCCAGGGCTCGGACAGCTTCTCCTGAACCAGGGCCTTCACGGCCTTGCCCAGGAAAGGCGAGGCCTCCATGGCGGGGCTGCCCTCCGCTTCTGTCTTGATGTTCAACAGGCCGCCAAGGTTGGGGTTGCCCTGAGACATCTGCAAAGAGAACAGGGCCCGTGCTTGGGGCTGGCTGGCCGCCATGGGAGCAGCAGCGGCTCTGGGCCACTCGGACCTCTCGCAGTGCACTAGAGCAGTGGAGGGGAGAGGGTGCCTGGCCCTACACAGCTCTGGCCGCAGGTGAGCCCGCTGTGAATGGTGCTGCCACAGGCAACGTGGAGATGCCACGGCTCCTCCACACAAACCCTGTGGTGCTGAGATCCATCACTCAAGCTAAGGCCGGGACTCTGGGCACACACCAGACCAGCTTTCCCCAGACTTTGTGGCTCCCTGGTTATTTTCCTGCCAGATTTTCAAAAGAAGTACAGGAGGAGGAGGAGGGGGATCCCCTATGAATTCCTTGAGAACAAGAGAAGGCACACAAAGGAGGAACAGAGAGGGAGGGAGGGAGGCTCAGGGGGTGAGACAGAGATGCCTCACGGTTGCTGGGCCAGGGGGGAGGGTGGCGAGGGGGAGCCCGTGTGAAGGCTTGACCCACATGAGGCGTGGGGCTCCAACAGGAAGGAGGGACGGGGTGCAGGGGCCAGCGACCCCCTGGGAAGGGAGACGTAGAGCAGGAGAGCAAGGAGGGAGAGAGGGAAGGTGGGGGGTGCGAGCCAGTGGCAGAGGGCAGAGGGCGGCGGGAGGCCCCTTTCCTGCCAAGGGCCCAGCGGGGAGCCCCACCCGTGAGGTCCGGCCCAGGCCCAGCTCCCCGAGCAGTCACTTGTGTATGGTAACCAAATTAATCTTGCTGTAGTCAAATTTATCATGTGAAGGGGGGAAATATATTTGAGATGATGTATAATTTACAAAGACCCTGCATTATTTAAAATAAATATTCTGGAGCGACCTCTGCAGAAGGCGTCCGAGACCATTACTCAACCCGAAAAGTGGAAATTGATGCTTTGCTCCCACTTTAGCGCCCCTCCCCCACCCCCTTTTTAAACAAACAAAAAATATATAAAATAAATAAATAAAATTAATAACTGAAAGGGAAAGAAGTTAAAGGGCTCTGGAAAAGCTTTTGGAGCCCTCCATCTGAAGGGAAGAAAAGGGTGTCAGAGGCTGGAATATATTTCTTCAGCCAGTTCATTAAATTAATTTGTAAGCAGTGGCTCTGAAATTATATCCGATGAAAAATGGCCTCAAAATTTAAATGGTACAAACTCATCTTATTAGAGGCAAAACATTAAAAAACAAACACCTCCCCCCCACCCCCCAGCATAGCTTTAATTTCTCTGGGTGGGGGAATGGGAGGCGTGTGATGGATGGTTCTTACCTTATTCATAAGCGAGGATAAAAGAGATGAATTTGCCGGGACTGCATGGCCATTTGATTCATTACTGGAACACACAAACCAAAGGGCTTTAGCTCAGATGTACGTGGGACTGAGCCCAGACACTCACCCTTCCCTGCCCATCCGGAAGGCCTCGGCCCCGCCCACTACATCTGCTTGGGCTGGAGGAGGACCCCCCGCCAGGAGGGCTTGGCCCCTGGCCTCGGTGGGGTCTGGCTCCAAGGGTGCCGTCCCCAAGAACCTCCTGCAGTGGGGCAGAGCTGGTGGCGATGGGGGGGGCGGGGCTGGCCTCGCCTCACCTGGGCTCCTTCACAGTCAGGTCTAAACTGCGGTCCTGGGATGCCTCGTGGGGAACCGGGGCACCAGCGCTCTCACCGGGCTCCTGCTTCACCGGGGCCGGGGGGAACCTGGCAGGGGTGGCCTGCTGCCCGTTTCCTACAGGGGAAGGGAGGGAAGATGGTGTTAGAGGGGCTGAGGGCTTCCTATGGGCACAGACTGGAATCCCCCACTGCCAGAAGGGAGAGCAGTGGGGCTGGGTGGGCCACAGGCCCCCAGGGGAGGCCTGGCTGCTGGTCAGCGATTCTCCCCATTGACATGATCGCTCGTGACGCTTACCCCTGTGTGGCAATTCTTCAAGTGATAATTATTGCAAAATTATGTCAAAGTTGTCCCGGCTCAGGGCCTCCTGGAGGAGAAGGGCGGGAGGCTGGGGAGGGGGCTGGAACGGGGGTGGGGGCCCTTCATTTTCTCCACCGACTGTCACAGTCAATTTGTGGGGCTGCCGCTTAGGCTTTTATTAAAGACTTTGTTAATGCTGAGGGAAAGTGGCAGATCTAGACTGGGAGCCGCGCCCTCCGCAGGTCCCCGGCCCGCTGTTGCCGGGGCGACGTCCCTGCTTTCCACTGAGCATGCCTAGGAGGGGCATCTGCTGTGTCAGGGCTATGGGAGCTGACAGCCAATCAGAGCGGTTCAAACTATGTGACCTCGCCCGTCAAGCTGTCCAGAGCAGAGATGCGAGGCCCACTGTGGCCGGGCTGGGCCGGACCGGGGTCTGGGTGGGAGCTGGCAGGCAGTAGCCATCTGGGGAAAGGCCGGAGCTGGGTGGGCAGCTGATTTGGGAGGCCAGGCAGAGCAGGGGCAAAGGAAGTTGCTGACAGGAGCGTGCCCACCGAGCCCTTCTCCACAATCCCCAAGTGGCTGAAATATTAATCTGCCCCAAGGCGCTACAGCTGACAGAAAGCTGCTTCACAGACAGCAAGTGGCATTTGATTAAAAAATAAAGGAAAGCGCCCCCCCCCCCTTGACCTTTCTTTTGGGGAAAGGAGATTTTTCTGATGAAAAAGAAAAAACTTGACAGTCTGGCCACTGAGCTCAGTGTGGTCCTAAAGTGGGCGCCACCCTGGCCCACAGGCGTCTGGCCAGAGGCATAAGGCCCCCGGGCCAGTCCTGCCATCCCTCTCACACCTGGAATGGAAGGAGGGTCACTCCATGCTTCCAGCTGATGGGAGCGTCCCACTCGGGACAGGTCAGTTTTCAGAACTCATGCCAGGGGCTCCCCAAAGTCACTTGCCCGAGGTCCCCTGGGAAGTGGCCCAGCCCCCTCGCCAAACAGTGGCAGGCCCTCCAGGAGACCTGCGCTAGGCCGCAGGGGCCTTCCATCTTGGCTGGTCTGCAGATGGTCTCCCAGAGGAGCAGGGCGTTTGGGCTCAGGAGCCGGACCACTGAGGTCCAGGTCTGGACTTGGCCTCCTCCTGGCTGCGTGCCCAGGATCACTGCCCCCACTGCCCCATCAGCTCTAGCAGGCAGGACTTGGCCTCCCTGATGTGTCCCCAGCACCGGCGAGGTGCCCGGCCCTCAGCAAACACAGGGGTTGCTGAATGAGTGACTGTAGTGACAGCTGACTGTTCTCAGCTAAGTACCGAGAAGGGGGAGTGCAGGGAGAGGAGCCAGGGAAACAGAAAAGCCAAAGAATTCTAGGGACAGAGAAAACATTTAAAAGAGTAGAAAACTTGTGAAGGAGAACTGCTCCCCATGGTGAGCCGGAGATAAGACACGGGGGGTCTGGCTGTGTCGTCCGACGCGGCAGCCACTGGCCAGGTGCGACTGAGTTAAAGCAATTCCAACGGAAATCCAGTTCCTTGGTCACAGAGCCAAGTTCAAATGCTCAACGGTCGCAGGTGACTAGCGGCTGCCGCACCGGACAGCACAGGACAGAACGTTTCCGCTGTGGCAGAAAGTTCTACCAGATGGCACTGACGGAGATGGAGATGCTGGAAGGTCATCCTCGGCCTTGAGCGGCTGGCCGGGCATAAATCCCAAGCATCCCTGAAGGGCGGCCACCCGCTGCGTGGCTGGACTCACGCCCCCTCCAGGTGACATGAGGGGGCCCTAGGGAGGCGCAGGGATCTGGGACTCCTCTCAGCAGGGGCCGGACTTGGGACGAGGTAGGGTGAGAACTTGGGGGTGGGGACCCGGGCTCCCAGTGAGGCCAGGCTTACGGCCCTTGCTTCACAGATGAGAGAACAGAGCTGCCTGGGGTGGGGTGGGCAGCCAGAACAAGGGGCCCTGAACAGCAAACACGATGGAGGGAGAGACCAGGCAAAGAAGGGAAGGGGTGAAAGGGGGGGCTGGGTGGGGGGGGAGGTGGGCGCAGGAGTAGAAAGACACCCTGCCAACACCCCCCGACTGCAATCTGAGGCGGCAGGCTTCCGGGGTCCGTAAGCCGCTCGCTTCCTGGGCAAGGCCCGGCCTGCTCACCTGGGTCAAAGGTGGCAGAGGGCTTGAGGGCGGCCGCAGCCAGCCTGGCCATCATGGGCGAGATGAGGCCCTTGCTTGCCGAGATCCTCTCCATGATGGAGGCGGGGGGCACCGGGACAGAGGTGGCAGCCGCGGGGGCCGAGTCAGCGGCTCCCGAGACAGCCAGAGCGGGCGTGTCGGCCACTGCTGAGGCCGCTGCCCCGGACGACATGGCACCCAGGAGGCCAGGGGCACCCACGGGCAGGGAGGCGCTAGCCCGGCTTGGAAGGATAGGGAAGTACGGGGCAGCGGTGGGCAGGCCTGAGTTGGAGAGGGCCAGCGCCAGCGGGAGGGAAGCGGGAAGGCCCTGGGACAGCAGCCCGGAGATCTTGCTGTTGGGCGGCTTGGCGGCCCCGGGTGCGGCCTCGGCGGCGGCGGCGGTGGCAGCGGTGGCAGCAGCGGCGGCAGCGGCGGCCAGGGAGGCCGAGGACTGCTGGCTGGTCGGGGAGGCGCTCAGGCTGGAGTTCTTGCTGCTCAAGGCCGAGAAGTCGACCAGGTCGTCGTTGCTCGACTCTTCGTGCTCTGTGTCCTTGGCGCCCAGCAGCGAGGACGGCAGCCCCAGCGCGCCTGAGGAGCGCACGTGCCTGCGCTCGTGCTTGCGCTTGTGCGAGGTCATCTGGCTGGTGGACGTGAAGGTGAAGCCGCAGCCGGCGCGGATGCAGTGGAAGTGGTTGGTGGCCTTGCTGTACACGCAGCCCTCGTACCTGCACTCCTCGTACTTGTAGAACTTCTTGAAGCCATCCTTGGCATACGCGTCGTCCTTGATGTGGTAGCTCTTGTGCTTCTCGATGTCACACTTGTTCTTGAAGGTGAATGTGCAGCCGGGGCGCCTGGACAGGACATGGTGGGGCCTGTTGCAGGGCCTCAGGGAGGACGGGGGCCCCGAGGTGGTCCTGCCCTGCTCCCCCTCCGGACCCAGAGGGACCCCCCACCCTTGCGCCTATGGCCTCGAGGAGGCAGGACCCCGAGCCCTGCACGGGCCCACTTCCCCATCTCCCATCCCTCGCCTAGGCCAGGCGGCCTCCAGGCGGGCTCCCCGCCCACCTGCAGTGGAAATGCGTGGTCTTCTGCCCGTAGAACTGGCAGTCGGCCGTGCCGCAGTCCTCGGTGGCTCGGAAGCGCTGGAAGCCGTCATTGATGAGCTGGGTGTTCTTCTTGTGGAAGTTCTCATGGGTCATCACGTCTGATGTGCTCGTATACACCTTGTTACAGCCCACCTGCAGGGGCAGATGGCCGTCAGGGAAACAGGCCAGGCTCCTCTGGGTCAAGGTCAGAGCAGCCATTCAGCCAGCCAGGGGCCTCCCTGCTGTGGGGAGCTTCAGTGCCCATAAACCCCTCAGGCCCTGCAGGCAGGCCAGGCCTGTGCCAAGGGCCTCCGGGCACAGACAGGTGGGGGAGTCCCGCCCTGCAGGAGGGGAGTTTGGAGTCCTGATCTGTGACTCTGCCTCGAGGGCCCCTGGTGGTGGGCAGGGCTGGCCCTGGGGGCTCGGCAGTCACCTTTGGTCCAGGGACTCGTTGGGTGGACACTTCCTGGCACAGGGCCCTCCCCACCCCACCCTAGCTGGGCCAAGCAGGCAGCGTTGCCATATTGAGTAAAAACCAGTGGAATCTGAGCACGCTTGAAGGCTGGGCCGTGCCAGTGTCTGCACCATCTCAGGGCCTGGAGAGAGAGCCCCCCTCTCCTCCTGGCCCAGGTTGTTCCTCGGAGCCCATAACAACCCCCTGACAAATGCCGGGGGAGGTGCAGCGGCTGCTATTTGCAACCCCAAGTCGCTCCCCCTGGGCCTGACACCTTGAAAAAGCCCAGACTCGGCGTGGCATTAAAACAGAGAATTAAACAAAAACCTCCTCAGGAACCATTTGCAACGCTCCTCTTGGTGTTAAAGCCTGAAAAATGTTGGTCTGTATAAACAGCTCCCTGAATTTCACCCGCACCAAGTATGGCCATGGGGACGGCCCCGCCCGGGCCCTGCCAGACACCACTAGGGGCCCGTGCCCCCGGGACTCTGCACTCGCCTGCCACCCCCCCGACTCCTGCCAGGCCCCAGCCCCCCGCGACCCCGCCCCTGGCACCTGCATGCAGTGGTAGTGGGTGCTCTTCCCATTGAGGTGGCAGCCGTGGTAGTAGACACTGCAGTCGTCCAGCGGGCTGAAGCGCATGAAGCCATGCTGCAGGGAGTTGTCGCGCTTCTTGTGCATGTTATAGTGCCGGATCACGTCTTGCTTGCTTGTGAACCTCTGTAGGAGAGTACCGGGTCGGCAGGGGCCTGTGCCGGCCCCTTGCCCAGAGTGCCGTCTCCTCCCCTCGGCTCTCGCTGGAAATAATCCTGCCTGGGGTAGAGGTGGCCCGGGGGGTCCCCAGACCAGCACAGGGGACCATAGATGGAGCCACTCCAAAGGTCCCTAAGCCACAGACCCTTCCGTGACCTCATTCCGTGAATTCGGCCAGGCCCTGAAGGCAGCAGCTCTGACAGGGGACAGCCCGTCTTGCCCAGTGCCACCTACAGGCTACGCCAGCTTGGGATCCCTGGTGAGCAAGAGAGGACAACCCTGGGTGCGCTTCCCTCTCGTTCACCTGCTCTGCATTTATCAGAGGTGGCTTTGCCCATCAGTGATGACCTCTCTGCACCTCAATGTTATCATCTACTAGATGGGGCAGGAGGGCACTGGCAAGAGGCAGACAAGGTGCGGAGGCCCTGGGGCGGGGCAGGACCCCAGCGAAGGGAGACTGAATGACCATCCCAGGAGGCAGGTGGCTCCAGCCCCTATCAGATGCCTATCAGGCTAGTAGTTTTCCGAGTTCTCTGCCTGTGTGAGTTAAGCTCAGGTGGCCTCGGCAGAACCGGACACCCCATCCCACTTCTGAGAGGCCCCCCACCAACGGGCCAGCCCAAGGGGGCGGGGCTGGTGCCCACGAGGCCCTACCTGGTAGTTGCACTCCGGGTCAAGGCAGTGATAGTGCTCACGGTACTGGTAGGCGCAATGGATGTGGCCACAGTGCTGACTGCCCGAGAACCTGAAGGGAGGGGGGCTGGGCTCAGTCCTCTCAGGGCAGCAGCCCTAGGGAAGACCCTTCCCTCCCTCCCCAGGGAGGACTCTGCTGTCAAAGCAGCAGAGCAAATCTGTGCCCATACCCTGGGGAAGTGCCGCTAGGGTTTAGGAGGGCCCGTGCCCTGTGTGGGAGCACGGGGGGGCAGGGGTGGTCTGTGGGGGTGAAGTGGCAGAGGCCAGGGTGAGTGACTGGGCCTGCTGGGAATCCTAGAACGCTGGACGGTAGACCTGTCCTGCCTTGGGAATGAGGGCCCAGTGAGGCCCCGAGGCCTGGCACCAAGGTGGGGAGGGAGACGCCGAGGCGGGTCAGGCAGCAGAGCAGAGACAGGGAGGAGGCCTGGGGTGGGACGGGATGAGGTGGTGAGGGTAGGGACCCCCAATGTGGCTGCCTTTCAGCAGGTGCCACCCCCCCGGCCCCGGGCCCAGTGCGACACCAGGTGATGGAGACATGGGCTGGGCCAGCCCAGGGCCCCGCTGCCGAGAGGTGTTAAAGCCTCTCTGTGTCCTGGGCTTTCCTGACACTTGAAACGGCCCAGGGTTATGAATTTTTAAAGCACAGCATCTGTTCAGCGTCCTGCGGCAGGGAGCGTGCGCTCCAGCCAACTCCACAGCCAGCAGCCCCGCGCCGCCCGCCTCCCAGGAAGCCCGGCCTTCTCCGGGCCCCAGAGCCGCTGGGCTGTGGTTCTCAGTCGCAGCGATGGCTACCCCGGGGAGGCCGCTCTGGGGAGAGCCTGCCAGGACAATGGGAAGGAGGCTGGCCTGAGACTGTGGGGCGCACACACACACACACACACACACACACACACACATATACACAAACACAGACCCCTTTGTAAAGGGAGAGCCACTTGTAAATAAATATTTAAGCTGAAGCTGCCAAAAGGGCCATCTGCTGAGGCACTAATAATAATGATAATAATAATAATAAAGAGATTGGAACAAAGCTGAAAAGACAGAGAGGGACAGGAGGAGCCTAGAAGATCAGCAGAAAGATGCACACTGGGGCACCGCTCCCTCCTTGTGCTGCCCCGTCGGGCACTGACAGCAAGAAGCCGGATTTGCGGGGGGGCACCAGTCGAGGCAAGGGTTCTTTACCTGCCCATCCTGCTGCCTTCAAAGTGTAAAGGGGCAGGTCTGGAGGCGGACCATGAGGGTCAAGGCCCGGCCCAGGGAGCACATGGAGGCCATGTCAGAGAGGCTAATCGACTGTGCCCCTTCTCGTCGCCAGCGGCTGCACGCTGGCCTGCGTCCCACCCCAGACTCCGCATAAGCCGTGGCAGGGGGCTCTGTGCTCACCTGGGGCCAGGCACTGCCATCGGGCCCCTTTGGGCATCCTGGCCCTGCCTAGCGTACAAGCTGCTTCAAGGGCACGTGGCCCAGGTCCCATCAAGGGGTCAGGGGCTCTGAGACAGGGGTGCAGTCCCTCAGAGGAATTTGAGGGCATGGGCACACAGGGGTGGGGAAGCAGTAGGCACTTGGGCATAGCGGTCAGATGGACCTGTGGTCCCACGGAACGGGCACTCCTGGCACCACCCCCCCCTTCTCCCCAGGGGCCTACCTGGCAATATATTTCTGATAAATGTTTACATCTTCGGTGACAGCTGGTTTATCTGTGGGCAATCCGTTCCTGGTGAGAGACACACAGGGCACAGCCGATTAGCGGACGGGGGTAGCCTCACAGCCCAGAGGTGTCGAGGGGCAGCTCCCTGTCCTGGGGCCCTGGCCCTTCCCACTCTTGCTCTGCTGTGCTCTGAGGCCCTCACCGTGGGACTGAAAAGCCCTTTGGCAGAACCTTGGCACAGGTTCAATTAGCCCAACTCTGTCCGGCAAGGGCAGTGCCATCCCAAGCTGTCACGGGCCTGGGGAGGAAGCCTTGAAAGCTGGGGCCTGGCCTCCATTGCATACTGGAAGTCAGGAGGATGCTGGGAAGAGCACTGGGGAAGGGCCAGCGGGCAGCTCCCTAGATTGGCTCCAGGTTTTCAGCTCTACCTCAGGGGGGAAAGGAGTGTGGGAAAGGGTCTCCCCCAGCCCCACACAACTGGTCCACAGATAATTTGACCGTTCCCTGAGGGTTAGTGATGAGTGTGCCCTGAGACTCCTGCCTTCTCTTGTTGCCTTCCCGTGGCCCAGGCCCTGAACCTGGGAGCCACAGCTACCAGCTTGGAGCCTAGACCCCTTATCCCAGACTAGGGCTCTCCCAGCCAACCACAAGACTGCATGTGAGGCAGACGAAGCCCATCACTGGCAAATGGGGGAATGGGGGTTATGGTCCCTGGTATGCGTGTTAGCAGATGAGCACGTGCACAGAAATACCTGACGTGTGATGTGTGTGTGCACACTGCAAGATGTATAGTGTGCTGGGCATGAATGATTACGCAAGCCGAGTGTGTGTGTGAGCACGTGTGTGCTCAGGCACGCGTGTGTGGAGGCACATGTGAGAACCAGTGCACGTATTAACCCGGCCGTGTGGTGGGCGTGCTCAAGTACGAGTGGATGTGCCCACGAGCATGGGCTTCAGGGGCAGGAAGTGGCTACGCCAGTGCCCAGCTCAGGATGGGTGTGCCTTACTTGACAGTGGAGACGGTCCCCGTGGTGATGGAGTCTGTTTTGGAGAAGGTCGACTTCAGGTACTCGGGAGTGTTGAAGGGCAGGGAGGCAGACGGCTCGGGCCCTGGCCCGGGGGCGCTGGGAGCACTGGGCACACTGGGGAGGGGTGCAGGAGCCAGGCTGGGGGTGGGCGGAACCTTGGTGGGGCCCGGCTTCTGGATGGCCCGGACGTCGTACTTGGAGGGGCGCCCCACCTTGCCCGTCTTGAAGGCAATGGCCCCGCCCATGTCGGGGCTGCCCTCCCCGGGTTTGAAGAGGTGCAGGTACTTGACGTTCTCCAGGTCGTACTTGGATGGCTTCTTGTAGGTGCTGCCGTTCTGGGGCCGCAGGTTCTCTCCCGTCTTCAGTTTCTGGATGAAGAAGTCGTACTTGGAGGTGCGGGCCACCAGGCCCTGCATGGGAACGCTGCTGTGTGAGGGCAGGGGCAGGATGGTGGCCTTGGTCTCCAGGTGTGCCGTGCTGCTGGGCAGCCGCAGGCCGGGCAGGGGCCCCACCACCTCCTTGCCGGCCCGATCCTCGGCCTTGGTGCTGTGGGCCGGCCAGGAGAGTTGCTCCCCGGCCTTGAGCTTGCGGATATATTCCTCATATTTGGAGAAGCGCGCCCGCTTGCTGAGGGCATCTTCGGAGGCGGGCAGCATGGAGGAGGTGGCCACCTCGGGGGTGGAGCCTGCGTGCAGCTTCTCAAAGCTGATCTTCCTGGCCAGCTCATCCCTCGTGTTCTGGTCATCATAGCCAAACATGCCAAGGAACTCGGTCATGGTGGAGGCCGCGTAGTCCCGGAGCGAGGAGGCCTCTCCTGCAGCAACAGGGAGATGCCAGTCACCTCCGGGAGGGGGCAGGGTAGCCAAGGGACGGGGGCACCCCCTCCCCGTGAACCCCCAACCAAAGAGGGAGGAGGCTGGCATGGGGAGGGGGCGGAGCACGACATGATCTATGGACATTTGGCTCACTTGTTAGGTTTTACGACTCTTAAATTAATTTGTTTAAAAAAAAAGTAATTAATACCGGGGTAAAATAAAACGAGTTCATCAATGCCAGGAAAATCAATTTCCTAAATGTTCTGGCCGATGGCTTTTCAGTACATTAAACAAAGTTTCATAAATGTCTCCTCTCTCTCGCCTTGGCCTAATATGAAAGGGAAGTCACTTTACTGGAAGTAAGGCCAGATCCCAACCTGCCTCCCAGGGGTGGGTGATATGGGGGCTGGGGACAGGTAGGGATGTGGGGTGGCAGCTGGGCAGTCAGGAGGGACCCCAGGGATAGAGGGCTGGGGGTGGGCCTGGCTGAGCCCACCCGGAGAACTCTCCCTGACCCCACAAGCGGACACACAGCCCCGGATCCCTGGGAGGCAGAGGGCTTACCCCGAGCCTCACCAGGAGCTGGCCTCTCAGCTCCCCACCAGCCCCCCGCATACCAAGGGTCCCAGACAACAAGACTGAGGTGTCAGAGGCCTTGCCGACGTGTTTACTCAGACTCACTCAGGCCCCTTGCACCAGCCAAGATTTATGACGTGGGGAGCTGTACAAACGTGCTCGCGCATGAGGGTGGCCACCCTGAGGATAGTCAGCGCCCAGGAGGCTGGTCCTGCTGGCCCCAGGGCAGTGGCCCGAGCACAGCCCCTCTATAGGTGCCATCCGTGTCCACTCCAGGGCCCACAGAGACCCCGGAGCAGCCTCCCCGCAGGACGTAAGCAAACACCGCACACGCACCTGTGCACATCCCTAGCTACCTTCCCAGCTCCACAAACACACATGCGTGGACACGAACCACCCCAAACCCCACACTCGTCTCCCCAGGGTGAGTCTCAGGCTGGCGGAGGCAAGACGATCCCATTCTGCCCAGGGCGTTTCTCTGGAGCCCCACGTCCGTGCACACATGACCTTCCACACATCAGACGTGTGCCTCCCCAGCACACACGGGCTTACTCATTCCTGTGCAGGGCACTCGCTAAACACCTACTCTGTGCTACGGCCTGGGTCAGTGGCGGGCGCACGGAGGACGGCGAGACCCATGCGGGCCCCACACACATGTATGTTTTCTCCGTGCCTGTCTGAGCCAGCAGGGCCAGGCACACGGACAGCGGCAGGGCCCCAGGCTGGGAGTCCTAAGAGCACAGCCAGGGGGAGGCATGGCTGAGGAAGGGGTGGGAGGCCCAGGGCCCCAGCAGGGTGGCAGAGGAGGGTCGCCTCCCAACCCACATGGCAGCCTATCGGGTCTGCGTAGGAAGAAGACAGTCACAGGCGGCACCTGGGACCCAAGGTGGGCAGAGTGACTCCAGGAGCCAGCGGATGGCTGTTCCCTGGGGCGGGGTGGCCGATGGGCCACTGTCCCGACCTCAAGCTACGCGGGGTTGGGGGCCCAGCCTGGGACGAGTGGGCTCTGGCTGCTAGATTCAGTGGCTCAGGGACCAGGGAAAGGGGCTAAAAATAGCAGGAGGCAGCTGAGCCCTCGCTATATATGGCAGAGAGACAGAAGGCTTTGAAGGGCAGGCAGCTTAGAGGAGGGAGGGGGCTGGGTGGGGGTCTGAGGCAGCCTGGAGGCCTACATTCCTGAGCCCCCAGGCCCAGAGAAGGTGGCCTGAGCCTGGTGGGTGGCTCAGGCTCCAGCCGGTTTCCTCTGGTGCCCAGGGCTGAGCAGGCCGCTCCAGGTGTCAGATGGCAGTCCCTCTGCGGCTCCAACCAGAGGGGTGATGGCCAGGTCACCAGGCCACTGGCAGTTCCAGCCCTGCCTCCTACTGTCCCAGCTCTCCATGTGAGGTGAGAGAAGGCAGGAGTCAGGGTAGGGCTGGGCCGGGGAGGGGCCGGGGCCCTCATGGGACAGCAGCCCTCGTCCGCATCCCTTCCTCTCCTCCGGCTCAGCACAATCACCTTGTGTCTGGGAACGGCAAGGGCTTTTCCTATCAGAGGAAACTGAAGGTCACACTTTTCCTCATTGATCTTGCAATGTTTGTTAATTACTCTGTCACTGATGTGGCGAAGGATAATTAAACAGCTCTGTTTATATCTTATATGCATAATTATGTGGCTGCGCAGGGCTCCCCGTGCAGGGAGGAGATGCGCCCCTCGCTGCAGGGGGAAGGGGATAGGGGAGCAGCGGGGCACCAGCACAGGCCTGAGAAGGAGGCTGGGAGCTGGAGAAAAGGCCCTGGACCCAGGGGTTCCATGGTGACCCTCTACCACCTGAAACCGCAGCCCCTCCCTCCCTGGAGTGTGAGGAACCCTGGGCTGCTCTGAGTCGTAAGGACAAGGAAACAGCAGAAAAGCCAGGCCTGAGCCACCTCGTGGGAAAGAGGTCAGCCAGAGGAGCGCGTCCGGGGCAGGCAGCTGTAATGGGATCTGTGGGCTGGGCCGGGCCACCCCATGGCCCTGTGCCTCACCCCTGAGAGGTCCTGCCTAGCAGAGCCAGTGTCCCTGGGAAGGAGAAGGCTTCTGGGAAAGGGCAGGGGAGGCTGGGAGAACGGCCTATCCCAGAGCTCTGCCCCTATGGCTCTAGGGCTGACCCCGCAGGCTCCTCTGATGCAGGTGTGGAGACGGTCCCCTAGTCTGTCGTCTGTCCCGCGTCCGCACAGCCATCCCTCACTTCCTCAGACCCGCCGTGCTCACAGCCGCCCCCAGCCTGGCTCACACCTGGGACACTTCCCTCCCCCCTGAGCAAGTCTCCCCTGTTCTCGCCCCTACGTTGGCCCCAGGCCCCAGTGCGGCCCCCGCCCCGGGTTAGGAGTCCTCACGGGGCGGAGTGAGGTGCCGGGACACGGAGTGTGAGTGGCGGAAGTGGGCGTGCTCTGCAGACCCCCTCCTCCTTCCCCGCCGGCCCCCCCACAGGGTTGTGCCATCTGTCCACGCGGCTGTCTGACACCTACCTGAAGCCTGCTTGGTACTGGGGCCGCTGTCGTCCTTGGAGGCCACCCCATCGGACTCCTTCTCCTCTGCGCCGCCGCTGCCATCCTTGGGGGGCTCCTCGCTATGGTCCTCCTCGTCGCTGCAGCCCTGAGGCTGCACCATGTAGACACCCTCGGGCGGCAGCTCCAGGCCCTCACGGCCGATCCGCCCCAGGCTGGGTGCGGGCGTGGGCTCCTCACTGTACTCGCCGTTGACCCACTTCTCGATCACCGCCCGCCTCTTGTCTTCCTCGCTGCGGGCGCCCCGGGCCACGCCGACCTCTCGGTCCCGTGGCCGAAGCGGGCTGCCCTCAGGCTGGGGGCCTGACTCTGCCCCCTTCTCCACCACCACCTGGCGGCTCAGCTTGGCGCAGATGGCGTTGAGCTTCAGGCCGCCTTTGCGCTTGGCCGCCATCGCGGGCTTGCCTGCGGGCGGGTCGGTGCACCGGGTCCCTTCAGCTGCGGGGGCGGAGGGAGAGGTCAGGGGAGCGGCCACCAGGCCCTAGGTCTTCCCAATCCTGTCTTCCTCACGCTGCCCCTGGCTGGTGGGGGTCTGCGCCCCTCACCAGACTGTGAGCTCCAGCGGCTCAGCTCGCCCAGCGCTCCATCCCCAGAGCCTGGCACAGAGGTCGGTGCACACTGGGAGGTTCAGGACAGTTTGGGAATGAACATAAGAACGAACAAATGAATGAATGAATGACTCCTCAAACACGAGGGGCAGACTTCTCAGCACCTGGTTCCTGGAAGTGTTTCCTACCCTTGCTTGGCCCTAAATTCCTCTTCTGAGAGGTGGGCACAACATGATCCCAGATAAAGGAGGTGGTGTGTCCTCTGCCACACAAGGACACTGAGGCACGTAGGCTGAGGCGCAGGTCACTGGGCAAAGCAGGCAAGTGACAGCAGCCTGCCCCCCCCCCCGCCCCCCATGGCCTGCCCCACGGGGAGGAGGCCACCGAGAGCCAGGGACCAGCCCCAGCCAACCTCCTGCCTTACCGGCCCACCTTCCCCTTGGAGCATCTGGTCCTTGGCACTCCCCTGCCAGACCTGGTCCCTGGCCCCACCTCACTCCTACTTCTGCTCCCTGGAGAGCCTTGGGATCTCCTGCTGCTCTCCCGGCCACCCAGGGCCCTCCGAAGCCCTCCACTTATCCTCACTCCCCTCCCTTTCACTGGCCCTCTCTTGTCTTCTCTGGCCATTTCCCTTCCTCAAGCCTCAGTCAGGGCCATTCAAAGGGCAGAGCTGCTCAGAGTCCTTCCAAGAACTGCTCATCCTTGTCCGAGGATCCCGCTCTGTTCTCTGCCACGGCCACAGCCCCTTCCCTTGGAGGCCTGGCTGACTCCAGAGAGCCCGCTTCCCAGCCCTGAGAAGCCACCACTGGGACAGGCTGGGGCTCCTCCCCAACGGAAGGCCCAGAAGCTGTGGCTGCTGTGTCTAATCCCTGCACACGGCAGTCCAACGGAAACTCTACCTAGGAGGCCCGACGTCTCGCCACAGCCCTCACGGCTGCTAAGTGGGGCGCCCGGGGGTCTAGGGGCGGGGAGCACACAGCAGGTCCACCCACCACACAGCCTGGGACCCGCCACAAAGGCCAAGAGTGGACACATGTACAGATTTTAATTTGTGTATCTGTCTGCTTGTCCTCCACCTTCCCGTCTGTCCATTTAGTCGGCTCCTATTGTGTGCCAGGCCCTGTGGGGGGCACAGCAGACGGTCTCAGCCGATTTGGGCACAGGGGGCCCCACTGGAGCCTCTCAGTGGCAGGGCCCCCTTGTGTGTCCCCCAGCAGAGGAATGAGTGGGCGTGTCTGAGTCTCCCCCCGCACTGGTCAGAAGGCTGAGTGAGGGAAGGGTCTGCTCCCAGGGCCATGGGCAGAAGGGGCTCCCCTAGAAAAGATCAACACCCCAACAACCCCCACGCCTAGAAGCCCACCAATAGGCATGCTCAGACAGGATGGCCACCCCGTGCCTGCCCGGGGACCCTGTCCCACAGACAGGATGGCCACCCCGTGCGTGCCCGGGGACCCACAAGGAGACTTGGCCTGTACAGGCAGGTGGCTGTACAATGCCCAGCGCCCCCAGACCTGCCCCGAAGCCAGCTGCCAGTGCGTATGGCCTCGCCCGGCCCAGGGACCCACTGGCCCCAGCCCAGTCCAGCCAGCCAACTTCCCCAGAAGGGTCTGCTTGGCTCACACCAGTTGGCCCAGGCTTGGGCCCACTCTACCCAAGTTTGTCCACGTCTCCAAGTCAGTGCCGCCCACACCCAAGTCTCCAAACCCTGAGTTCAGCGATGGGTCCCCTAGTCACACCATCCCACCCAGCCTCTGGGCCAGCTGCCAGGCTGCACGATGCCACGTTTCCCCCAGCAGATCTACAGGGAGTGGGCCTCACCTGGTCCCCTTGGTCCCCTGCCCTGGTGGGGAAGGGAAGGGGAGAGTGGGGAGCCTGCTCTATTTTTACCAGGAGGTAAGCAGCCAAGTGTGTAAGGCAGACAGCAAATGGATCTATAAATATTTATCCCAAGGAAGAGGGAAGCAGAAACTCCCAGGGCTGCACTTGCTGCTGGTGACACCCCCTCCTTGGGCTCCCACCCATCCCGGAGCCTCGCGGCACTTGGGGCCCACCCGGTCCGGCCCCCCCACTCCTGCTCTCGGCCGTGTGCCTGGCTCGGTCCCCCCTGGGCCCCCACCAGCTGCGATGCAGCTGTGCACCCAGGGCCCACCCCCGGCCCCCAGGCCGCGCTGCTCCGCCTATACCCCCCACACCTGCCCTCCAGCTGCCGCTCTGCCCCAGCCCACCTGCCTTCCAGATGTTGCCCTCCCTCTGACTCTACTGCCGGTCCCAGGGGCAGAAGTGGAGGAGGCGTGTGGGCCGGGGGTGCAGGGCAGGAGGCAGAGCCTAGGGCAGCGGGTGGGGAGTATGAAAGAGCCGAGGTCTGAGCTGCCTGCCCATCCGCCTTCCGGCCCACTCTGTGGGGTCCTCCTCCCCGCCTCCCCCCCCCCACTCCATCAGGGCTCTGGGACACACAGACTACCCCCCTCGTGGTCTGACCCCAGGCTCCTGTCCATGTAAACATTCCCCCGACTTTCTTCCCTAAAATATAAACGCCGTGGCCGGGCCTCAATGGGAGGAAGCCATCCGTCCCCGGCCATGTCACTGCCCCTTTCATCTCCTTCCCGCCACCAGCCTGCCCGCTGCTCTATTTACACTGGACACTTCCTCTGGGAACAATACTGCCCAGGCGGTGGGCTTGGGCCAGGGGGTGGGAAGGCGAGGGGACTCCTGCCCCGCTTACCCAGGGCCCGGCTCCAGAAAGGAGGCAAGGGGCGGGGCAGCGGAGGGGAGCCTAGTCAGGCCTGGGAAACTGGGCAAAGTGGGGAGAGGAGTGAGCGGTACCAAGCGCAGGCAGCCAGCCCAGGGGCTCTCCTGGCTTCTGACCTCCGGGTCCCGGTGCCTCTGCATCGTGGGATGAGCCCCAGCCGGTGGCACCACGAGGGCAGGGCCCGCCTCTCTCCCTTGCTGGCGGAAGGGCCCCAGGCAGGCTCTTGCCCTGTGAAAGCGCCCAGGACTGTAAGGGGAGAGGGTTCTAGCAAGCAAGGACCTGAAGAAGGCCGCTGAGCCCTGAGAGGGACACAAGCAAGCAGGTGCGGTGCACATCTAGGTGCAAGATCCCAAGCCCAGGAAACCTCACCAGGCCCGGAAGAAAGAGGGGACACCAGAGAGGCTGGGGGTGGGGGTGGGGGCAGGCTGCCCACTCAGCAACAAACAGCCCCTTCCCAGCTTTCAGGGTCCGAACCTCCTCTCCCAGGGCTCCAAACTCAGCCAGCCCCACCCCTGCAAGCAGTTCCCCTGTGTAAGCTGAGCAGATCCTGCTCAGGGTGGAGGAAAGGAGGGGCAAAAACCAGGCCTTCCCTGCACATCTTCATGTATGGTCCCCTGAGGCCTCGTAATGACCCTGTTGAGCAGGTACTATCATCATCCCATTTGATAGAAGAGACAACTGATCCTGGAGTCACGCGGACACCCCAGAGCTCAGGCTCACAGGGACCCCGGGCTCAGCCAGGCGCTGCAGCCACCACCATGTCCCTGATTAAGGCTTCTGGGTGGGCTCTAGGAAGGCCCGGGCCTCCCTGCCCGGTCTCCTCCTCACTCCCTCTCCTGGTTCCCGTAACACGGAGCCCCCTAAAGTGTTAACTGCAATGGGTAAAATGGTGCAGCAGATTGCTACAATAAATAATTTACTGATATTTATAAATATTCAAATCAGCCAGCTTCAGAAATCAAATGAAGGGAGGGCCTCGGGAGAAGGGCCCGTTATGGCAGGAACCTCATCATTCCCTCCAAAGGCTGGGGAAGGCCAGGGCTCCTGCCAGTTACGGGGGAGACAGGGGGGCTCCCATCGCTGCACCTGGGCCCCCGGTCCCCAGTCTCTGGGGATGAAGGGCTTGGGGGCGGCTGGAACGGCTCCACCTCCTTGCCAGGTTGGGGCCAGGCCCTCCCCTGCCCCGGGCAGCCTGTGCTCAAGGGGGTTGAGAGGCTCCAGTGCCCAGTGCCCACTGCCTGGGTCTCAAAGTTGCTTGTTCTGCCAGCGGGGGGTGGGGGGGGGAGTCCCTGGGGCTGGGCAGGCCTGGCAGCACCCCCCCCAACTTGTGAGTAATGTGTTTCGGGGCCGGGCGGCCTGTCAGCTACCAGGCTCCGGGTGCTTTATGGGCTCTGCCTGGTGGCTCTGAACTCCCTGGTAGGAAATAAAGTTCTCCCTGTGCGTCCCTTCTAAACATTTCACTCAGTGGAAACGGTGTTTAAGAAAAATGAGGACATATTTCTTCCTAAGGATGCAGTGTCCCCTTTGGGCGGCCTAATGCCCGCTGTATATCAGGAGGTGGGGAGGCAGGGGCCAGGCACTGGTCCCCTGGGGTAGGGATGCTCTGGGGCCCCCCTGCCTGCTGCCAGGCAGCTCAGGGGCCACAGACACCGCCAGGCCACTGGTGGCTGCCCTGTCCCATGGCCCGGAGTGACAGGGCAACCGGTACCCTCTGAACACCTCCCCTGTACCAGTGACACCCCCCCCCTCGCCATGAGGTTGTTAACCTGTCCCCATTTCTAGATGAGGAGGCAGAGTCTGGTGAGATTGGTAATTGTCCACGGTCACCCAGTGTCCGTGCTGGAACTGGACTCTCACGGGGCTCAGATGTCCAAGGCCATGGTCTAACACCCCACACACCCCTCCCACAGCCTCCCAATCAGGGTGGTGCCGATGCTGGAGCTTCCACCCTGCCGTCCCTAAGAACTTGAACTTGACAGGCCACAAGCCTCAGTTTTCAAGTGATGTGTCTAGGTTCATTCAACACACTCTCTGAGCTTCTACAAGCCAGGCCCTGGGCTCAAACCTGAGGACAGCATGTGCCCAAGACAGACTGTCTCAATGCAGTCAAGGGGGCAGATGTTCAAGTCACTGTAAGTGCA